AAACATACAAAGAAAAAGGACTAATATTTGAGGCACCTAAATGTGTGTTGGCCAGTGTAATAATGTAATAGTGAATGGAAGCAGCTGTAATGTATTCAGAGTACAAGAAACAGGCTGGGATGCCTGCATTAAGATTCAGCATGGATGCTGGGAGAGAAAAAAATCCCAATTTCCTTTGAAATGTAGGCAGCTTTTCTTTCTCCCTTTTTCATTTGCTCTCCCAGATGCACGCCACTGGTGTACTTAACTAACCTTGTGTGAAAGCACTTGCCGTCCTCCAGCCAACTTGGCTTAGGTGGGTGCCGTTCCCCTGGCGACTACATAACTTGAGCGAAATCCCTTTGGTGATAACATGCTGCCGTTCAGGGATACTCAACACCTGATACGAATGCCTGGCTGATGAACTTTTATTTATAGCAGAGCTTTTGAACTGGTTGTGTATATTGACGTCGCGATGCTTTAAGTTAAAGTTCTTTCGCTGCATATAATTCATAAGTTGCTTAAAGTGGGTCCTAAAACAGGAATCTGATTCCATTCTCCCTGACGTCTTGAAAGTTTGGAAAAGTTTGAGGCTCTCTGTCCACCTTATCACATTGAGAAATTTCCTAGTCATAGGACACTTCAGCCTCTTCTCAAGCATGGGGAGCCACTGAGCTCATCACATGAGTTAAACTACTTCTGGCTGTCATGCATGGCCTCGGTTGTTGAAAAGAGGCAGAAGTGTCCTGAAAAGAAGGAACTCCAGTAATGTGAGCTCATCACATTGAGAAATATCCCCCTCGTAGGACACTTCAGCCTCTTTTCAAGCATGCAGAGGCAGGGACCTCATCACATGTTCCAAGGTTGAAAAGAGGCTGAAATCTTCTGAAAAGAGGGACCCCAGAACACGGACCAGCAATCATGTTCAGAGATCCTACTTCTTATCGCACTTTACTCCCATGTTTACAACTGAAAAATAGGTGGGATGAGAACCATCAAAAGTTTTCCATACTGTTTCATTGGCCAGCCGTCAATAGTCTCTTGTATTCTATGGGGTTTGATGCAGAACAATAGGATCCCATGGAAAGAAATGGTTTTAACCTGGAGCACTGTCTTTTGTATTCTATGGGGTTTGATGCACAACCATAGGATCCCATGGAAAGAAGTACTTTTAAACTGGTGCTTTGGGCAAGGCAAGGAATCGCTTGGTTTTCAGATATTGTTGTTTCTCCTGATTTTTTTAAAAAGTAATACTGTCCTTGTGATGAATATAGAAGATGAATGTATTGCCAACTCTTAAGTTTCCACATGTGAGTGTGATGAGGAGGCAAAACTCAAAAAGGTACTGCTGACTATATACGAAGGGCGATTCTCTACTTTTAAAGGGATGGTCACCCATGCTTTCCCCTCTCAATATGATTAGGTGGTGTATGTCCTTGTCCTGAGTATCCAGGATGATGTTCTTCCATCATCCTTGACCACTGGATACTCAGATGAAAGATCTGACAATATCTGAAAAACCACATTATCTTTCTCTATACATTGACTATTCTTTAGTAATATGCAGACAAATCCTCATTTTGGAAACATGCTCTGTTAGCTCAGGGTTTATCTACACTGTAGAATTCATGTAGCTTCATGCCACTTTAACTGTCATGGCTCAATGCTATGGAGTTCTGGGATTTGCAGTTTGGTGAGGCACTAATACTCTAGTTAGGGCTACTATACATCCTAGGATTCCATGGCTTTGAGCCATGGCAGATAAAGTGGTGTCAAACTGTATTCTTCTGTGTAGCTGAACCCTCAGTGAAATTTATTCCCAGGCAAATCTCATTCATTAGGTTGCAACTTTAGATATGCTTGTTTTCAATGACACATAGTATCGACTTTTGAAAACAGCATGATTTTTGAGCCCCAGAGTTGTTTTGCAGTGGTTATAAACTTAATATTAATGATCCACTGATAAGTTATCCTTAGGGTTTTCAGAAGCTGGAAACAACTTGAAGGCAAACAACAACCATCACTAATTTCTCCCAGTAATGGGAATCAAGGCACCTGACAATATGTTTAAAGCAGTGTAGATGAAAAACAATAGAATTAAGAAAAGTATAAATATCAGATTGGGAAAAAAAAAACCAATTTCTGAAGGTGAAGCATTCAGTACGAAAAAGATAAAATGCACCAGAAGACTATATATGAAACTTGAAAATGGAGCGCCACAGCATTAAAAGTGCAGTCCTAGTTGATTTGAAAAAGCCTAATGGCAAAACATTGGAAAGAGATCAAGGAGTTAAAGTCCAGACCAGTGGTTCTCAACCTGTGGGTCCCCAGGTGTTTTGGCCTACAACTCCCAGTAACCCCAGCCAGTTTACCTGCTGTTAGGATTTCTGGGAATTGAAGACCAAAACATCTGGGGGACCTACAGATTGAGACCGACCTGGTCTAGACCTAGCCGTCTCCCTCTTTCCCATCAAAGTCACCTAAGAGTCTAGTGGGACAGAGCAAATGATATTTCTGGATGATCATGGAGTTGTAAGAGGCTCATGAAGGATCTTTTAAATAATCTGGACCCAAGCCATATAGGGCTTTGTAGATCCAAAGTAGCAATTTCAGCTGTGACCAGAAATGGACTGGCAGCCAATGGAGCTGTTGTAACAAGGGAGTTGTGTGGTCCCGCACCTTCAATTGACAACCTCTTTGCATATTGACATTTGCAAAGGCAACCACACACAGAGCTCATTGCAGCATATATACATGTGTTTGTGTCTCAGTTTTGTATATAGTCAGCATCTTCAATTGTTTCAAGACTCATGTACATTTGTAGTAGGAACACTATATTGCCTCTGTATTATGCATTATAATACAGTTGGAACTATTGCATTTATCAACTGTTTTGAATTATAGTTCACTAGTTTACATTTCTCATGGGCATGGCAATTTGAATATTCTTCATTTGCTTTGCAAAGTGAGTATTTGATAAACCAGTCATTAAAAAGAAAGAGTTCTCATTATCAGTGAACTAAAATAGAATCATGCCTTTTAAATTTTATCATGGTCATATGTCCAGAACATTTTCCCCTATCGTTACAGGCAGTCCCCAAGTTACAAACATCCAATTTACAAACGACTCACAGTTAAGAACAGGGCTGAGACAACAAGGAAGTGATAGAAATCTACTCCTTGGAAAGGAAATTCACTCTTGGAAGCGTTATTACGTGGAAAAAGGGTCTCCACTGAAGCTTTCTCCTCCGGTCTTTGTTTCCACAATCCAATTTTTTCAAAATCTAATTATCACAGAGATAGAAAGTGAGGTGAAAATCTTCTGAACAGGGGCACAGATAGCAAAGGAAACATCATAGGGCTGTTCATGTATCCCTATGCTATCCAAAGATAAATTATATAGTTTTGGCTGGAGTTACACTTAAAAATACACCTGTTCTGACTTACAATTCTGACTTGAGAACAAACCTACATAAACTATCTTGTGTGTACCTTGGGGATTGCCTGTATAGCATATAAAATATAGAGGAGTTGCTATTTTCTCTCTCTCTTCAGATGCTAGACCTTTTAGATGGCCATCAATATTTCTGGAAAGCCAGCATCTAAGATTTCATTTGCTTTTAGTTGTTTTGCAAAAAGTATAATCTCCTCCGATCTTTTTTCCTTATTTTTTGTTCTGCTAAAGAGTCTTTCAATACTTCAGAATTTGTTTGATCACCACAGCTGGAAAACAGCAGGTTTCATCTTTGGCCATAGAGGTTGATGCAGATGGGTCTTCAGCATTGTCTCTTGTGCCACAACTTCCACAGAACTAATATATGCTAATAGGGCAGAATGACACCTTCTACTTCTATCTGAATAGGGTATCTTACACATTGGCAACAAGTAGCACATTGGTTGAACATGTGAAGTACTGGAAAGGAAGTACTGGCAGTTCCTGAGTTGCAAACATCTGACTTACAAATGACTCATAGCTAAGAACGGGGGTGAGACAACAGGAAATGAGAGAAATCTACCCTTTGGAACGGAAATTCACTTGTGAAAGACTTATCATGGGAAAAAGGTGTCTCAGCTGAAGCTTTATCACCAATCCTTTTTACCACAACAAGCTAAAAGTTTCAAAATTCAAGTATCACAGGGACAGAAAGTAAGCTGAAATCATCTGAAAAGTGGTACAGATAGCAAAACAAACACCACGGTGGTGTTAACCCTTCCATATGCTATCCAAAGCCATGTGAGTGTATATGTATGTATGTGTGTGTGTGTGTGTGTGTGTGTGTGTATACACACACACAGACGGAGTTACACTTGAAAAATGTATCTGATCCAACTGACATAGAAATTCAACTTAAGAACAAAACTACAGAACCTATCTTGTTCGTAACTTGGAGACTTCCTGTATCCTGGAACGAGAATGGATGCTTGTTAGTTGCGGTAGTTGTTATTAACTTTATTATATACTGTCAAGTACTGGGACATACATAGCATAACTAAAGAGAGCAGGTTATTGTATTAATATATGGTCTGATCATTAGTGCATTTTGTTGGAAGTAACTCCCAGTGAGCACACATAGGATTGCTCTTCCAAAAAGGCAGCTAAAGCGAATTAACAGAAGCAAACAAGGAATATTCAATAAAAAGCATTGACTGTGTTGCACTTACTAACTATGTGTCATAGGTATTTCTAGAAAACACTCTGATTTTGGGCACAGTCTACCCTCTGTATCCACAGGTTCAACCATTCATTGTTTGGAAATATTCCCCTCCTTCTGTCTCCACTCTCCAATTCTGAAAAGTAAACCTTGCCTTAACCCCTCCTACCACTTGTGAAACACCAGTTGCCCATATTTGTGGGCATTCAAGTCCTATTATATATAATACATCATTATATATAATAGGACTTCAGCATCCACTGATGTTGGTATCCATTGGAGGTCTAGGAACCAAACCCAAGCAGGTAGCAAGGGCTCTCTGAAGTTGTAGAATTGGTTTGTACCACTAACTTTTCCTTTTTTCTCCAGCTCATGCTGTTGAATTTAAATTGCATGTCATGGATGACACTGCTTTATCGCTTGGAGCTATAGATGTTTCTTACTCATCGTCTTCATCAGAGTGCACTGTCTCAAGATGCAAGCATGCCAGTGAAGAATGGGTAAGTAAAATGTGCTGAACTATTCATTTCCTTAGGTAGTGAATTGTAGGAAGTCACAACTGGAGGAAAATCAAAGTTCATACTACTGCTAATTTTGCGCAGAAAAACAGGAATAAAACATAATGTATCCATGAAAGACTCACTCAGGAATATAGTTTCTCTAGAGCAGTGATTCCCAAACTTTGGTCATCCAGATTCTTTGAACTTTGGCTTTCAGAGTTTGTGGCTGCTGGAGATTCTGGTAGTTGAAATCTAAAATGCCTTGAGGACCAATGTTTGGGAACCATTGCTTTAGAGCAGTGTTTCTCAAACTCTGCTCCTCCAGATGTTTTGACTTCAGCTCCTCCAATTCCCAACAGCTGGTAAACTGGCTGGGATTTCTGGGAGCTGAAGTCCAAAAATGCTTGGAGAAGCAGAGTGTGAAAAACACTGCTCTAGAGAATTTATAGCAGTGCTTCTCAATCACTGGGTCCCCAGATATCTTGGCCTTCAACTTCCAGGAATCCTAACAGCTGGTAAATTGGCTGGGATTTCTTGGAGTTGTAGGCCAAAACACCCAGAGACCCGCAGGTTGAGAACTACTGATCTATGGATTGAGAGTTTTGAAATGTGAAGGATTCTCTATTCACAATATTTTAAATGTCAAATAGGATTAAATTCAAGTTAATCATACCGCAGTAAAAACCTCCATTTTAATGGAGGAACTAGCAAAATATTTTTGGGCAAAATACATATTTGTTACACTAAGCAGGAGAAGATGCAAGCAGGCATGTAAAATAATGAGTAGATCGATGTACCTGGATTGAAAGGAAAGATAAACATGAAATGAAGGAGGCAATGAGGACAGCAGGGTAGGGAAAATTGGATTATGCAGCATTGAAGGGAGGAAGTAGCTTCAACCTATAATTTGTGAAGATTTGGAGATCTGGTCAGAGATGGGAGAAAAGAGGATTATTTTGTCAGCCATGTTTGGTTCTCTTTGAATATGAGGACAGATTACAACAGACAACTCAAAAGCCTTGGAATGAAAACATCTTTTTGAATGGACAGAATATATTTTCTTCAAAGATATTTCTTAGGTTACGAAGTCCTTCATTAGTTTTCTATTAGTTAGATTGGCTGTTTTATTCATATTACATTTCTCATATATAAGAAATTTTTGCCTTTCTCATAACAGCACATTTTTGTAATAATTATGAATAGAAAAGCCTTGTAGCCTAATTTAAATATACTGTATATACTTGAGTATAAGCCGACCCGAATATAAGCCGAGGCACCTAATTTTACCACAAAAAACTGGGAAAATGTATTGACTCGAGTATAAGCCGAGGGCGAGAAATGCAGCAGCTACTGGTAAGTTTCAAAATAGAAATAGATACCAATAACATTACATTAATTGGGGCATCAGTAGAGTAAATATTCAAAAATATTTAAATAAAATTGTAATTTAAGATAAAGCTGTCTAACTCTGATTAAACCATTATTCTGACCTTCTTCAATGTAAATGTGCTTACATATCCTTCCAATAATAATAAAGGAAGTAAAATAATAAATGTAATAAAAATCATAATAGAGTAAAATAATGGAAATGTAATAACAGTAATAAATGTAATAATGACAATAATAAATAGAGTAAAATAATAAATGTTTTATAACAATAAAGAGTATAATAATAAATGTAATAACAATAATAAATAGAGTAAAATAATAAATGTTATAATAACAATAAAGAGTAAAATAATAAATGTAATAATAATAGAGTAAAATAATAAATGCAATAAAAATGCTTCTAATAACATAGAAAAATAGTAAATAACATTGACTCGAGTATAAGCTGAGGGGAGATTTTTCAGCCTAAAAAAGGGACTGAAAAACTAGGCTTATACTCGAGTATATACAGTAATTGTAAATATAAATATAATTTTCTGTTTGAAAGTTGAATTTTTTAGTGTACAGATGATTAGAATGATAAATGTCTACATTATTACATTGCTTAAGCATGGTATCAGACAATCTTAACTCATTACAGGTCACTAACTATTGAATTTGAAGACTTGTATTTTGCAACCATGGGCATGTTTATATACAGAAGTAGGTCTCACTGAATTCATTGGGGTTTCCTTTCTACCATATGGATGTTGCAATACAATCATTTTTCTAAACTTGGAAAAAGCTTGGAAATGTGGTGTCTTGAAAGCATGCATACGTTCTGTTAGTGAATAGAGTTCAAGGATTTGGTCATTGTGGGTGTTTGAACTTTGGTGTGTTTTCAGGTAGTCGGTTGCAGCATTGTGTCATACTTAATTAGGTAATGCCCTTTGGCATTTTAGAGATTAACATGGCTTTTAGAGATTAACGGTGCAGTTCTGTACATGCCTACTCAGAAGTAAGTCCTATCCGATTCACACAATTTACTGTATAAGTGTGCAAGTTATGTTTATAGGAGGGTTCATGATGCACATGGATTTCTTTTGTAATCATTGGGTTTCATTGTGTGTTGCTTCTCATACAGGGAACATACAAGAGCTGAGGCAGGGGTGTCAAACTCATTTCCACCTTAGGCCACATCAGCCTTATGGTTGCCTTCAAAGGGCTTGTTGTAATTGTAAGACTATATATATGTAACTATGTTGCCCTGGCATTGAAGGCCTTTCAAGCCACATAAAATTATGTGGCGGGTTGGATTTGGCCCGTGGGCCTTGCATTTGAAACATGTGAGCTAAGATCTTCAATTGCTAAGTGCTATTTTTTGTTGTTTGTTTCTAGGGAGAATGCAATTCTAGACCAACTGTCTTCCGATCAGCCACTTTAAAATGGAAAGAGACCCTACTGGGCAGAAATCGGCCATTTGTGGGACGTTGTTGCTATGCTTGCACTCCCCAAAGCTGGGTAAATTGATACGTTGATAACAAATTGAAACGTAATTGCCATGTCACATTATTAAAATAAGTTTCTCAGTTTCACCATTAAGGTAATTCATCTTTTGATGCCTGCACTAACAATTTAATTTTCAGAATCTGCATATTAATATAAGTTAGTGCTTTGTGTGCCTATGCTAGATGTATTGTAGTTCTTAATAGTAATAGTGTGTATACACACAGACATACATACACACACACACACACACACACACACACACACACACACACATATATATATATATACATACATACATACACACACACATATATAGTTATTAACTTCTTTGGCTATCATGAATGTATGATTAGAAATGATAATACATCTTTCTCATATATTTCTCTTTTTTATTTCAGGAAAAACTGTTTAATCCTAGTATCCCTTCTTTGGGCCTTCGAAATGTCATATATATTAATGAAACACACACACGGTAAATCATTTTTTGAGGATACGGTTGTTACTGTGATTTATAATGTAGTGCTGTACGGTGTGAAAAGGGACAGAGGGGATTAAAATACTTTAACCTTTTGATCTTTTGATAAGTAGCCTTTGGTTACCAATCCTAATCTGACCTGGAAGTGGCCTCCCCTTAAAGTTCTAAACCATACCAACAGAAAGGCTCATGAAGAAGGGGATAATTCTGGTATGCAACTGGGCAGTTTGGGTTGTAATTGTTGTCTTGTCCCGAGTGTGTTTTTGTTTGTTTGATTTTTAATAAATCTAGCTTTGAGTAAATCCAAAGCTAGAATTATAACTAGAATTAAAACATAAAATAGATTAGCTAAAACGTAAAAACAAAYGAAGAACATAGAAAATCCATTGATAATTATTGGGGCGGGGCATTACCCCACCCAGTGAAAAGCTATAGTCTTTCCATTGTTGACAGGGCCATAGCCAGAGGGGGTGGTTTAAGGATTCTAACCCCCCCCCCCCCAAACCCCTGGTTTCCTCAAGAATTTTAACTGGTTAACCAAGTTATGAGTAAACCAGATTTCTTTTTTAACCTGACACATTTCAGGGCAAGGTTGAACTTTTTTTAACCCTCCCCCCCCCCCACACACACACACCTCTGGCTACGGCCCTGATAGTTGAATACTGTTTAAATGAAAAGGTAACTGCCACCTGGTAGAAGAACAATGGAGGGGTGAGGAACATTCAATCTACTTTTGTTAGGAAGTTGTAGAGCTAGTCAGTGAGCACCATGAAAGTCATTTTTTGTTTCTGTCAAGGAGAGAGAAGAACTTTGCCTGGGTGGTCCTCTTCTAGCTCCATGATTCTATGCTACTATGGGGTGGACAGGGTTATCCTTGTGGTCTCTTTGAGCTCTATGACTCAGATAACAAATAGCCTCCTACTACTTGTGCGACACTCAGTTGCCCCCCAGAAATGAACAGTTAATCAGACAGAGCACAGAGTTACCTATGTCTTCCATATGCCCTCCCAAATATGGAACTAAATTGAGTGAGTTACAGCTGGAGGGGAAAGCAGACACAGCTTTGGCCCACTGTGGCCAGATTGCCCCCCGCCTCCACAGGGAGTGTCAGTGGGGAAGTGAAATGAGCTCCTTGGCTGAAATTCCAGTTGCCACTATTTTTACCTGGGATTCTGTTATGTCAAGTAGTATGGCCTCACTTGATTGGAAAAGTTGGGGAGGCACCCTTGAGTTGGTGAAACAGCCTTGGACTACTGAGTTGGTAGGACTTGCTTGCTTCTCAATGCAGAGAAGTTGTTTTAGCGAATGAGAATGACCTTATGAAAGTATGAGCCATACTCATTTGGAAATTACAACAAGCACACAGTACTGAAATGGTCAGTCCGCTAAATTCTAAGGCTCTTATTCCACCTGAACATTAGCAAGAACTTCCTGACTATGAGAGCTGTTCAGCAGTGGAACTCTTTGCCCTAGAGTGTAATGGAGACTTCTCCTTTGGAGGCTTTTAAACAGGGGCTGGATGGCTATTTGTTGGGGTGCTTTGAATGTGATTTTCCTGCTTCTTGGCAGGGGGTTGGACTGGATGGCCCATGAGGTCTCTTACAACTTTATGATTCTCTGATTCTTTAAATAGTAAGCATTATATACATGAATAGCTAGGCAAAGTTTGCAGTCAAGTGCACACTGTTCTACAAACAGTGTGATGGCAATTAGTAATTGGTTCCTGCTAGTTTGCTGTGAAGCTTAGTCCTGTCATGTTACAGCAAGAACTGCAGGTGTTCATCAAGGCAGTGGTGGTTTGATGCATGAAAGAAGTCACATGCAAATAATTCAGGCTTATTCTAGATTAAGGAACATGCATTTTAAAAACTTTTAATTTTGGATCTCATTTCCTGTTCACATTTTTAAGATTTACATTTTGAGACCGTTTTTTAAGCAAGCTCTAATGAGTGATCTCTTCTTTCTATGAACTTATTGTTTGTTTGTTTGTTTGTTTGTTTGTTTGGAGTGTTACTATTTCAAGTACATCTATATGTCCAGTTGTTTAAATGAAGGTGATCTATGTTTCATCACTCCATTTTTATTTATTTAGTAGCTCACAGGTGGTTCTTCGAAATACTTGTCCTCTTGACGCACCTCGCCTTATCCCTAGTGGGAAATTAAACCCCATAGCATGTCCCTCCTGTACCTCCAACCAGACAAGTCACTCCAGTTTTCCCATCTTGCCCAATGTCCCCTGTTTTTATTCTTGCATCTGGCCCAGCCCACCTTGATTAACTCTTGTCCTTAATTTTATTTTACTTCACACCCGGTGTTATATCCCACTGTGTTATTTTTCTTTTATTGTTTGTTTGTTGTTGTTTTTATTGCTGTATTTTAATTATTTGCTGTATGTATTTCAATTGTTTATTGTATTCGTTGGGCTTGGCCTCATGTTAGCTGCCCTGAGTCCCTGAGGGGAGATGGTGGTGGGGTATAAATAAAGTTTAATAATAATAATAATAATAATAATAATAATAATAATAATAATAATAATTCGAATTGACCACTATTTTAATGAGGACTTAGCAACTATGTGCCCCTTCTCTGATGTCGGATTTTATCTCCTTTTTGTTCTAACCAGTCGCAAAGTGTTAGGGGAGTTGCAGTCCAAATCACCTAGAGGACTATGGTTTACATTTCAGACTCTTTATTTCCAAGAGAAATCAGGCTCATATCAGATTGGCATTTCCTTGTGCTTGTTTGTAGTCCAGCTCCAATTAGTACACAATAATTAGTTTCACCACTGGATGATCACACAGTGTTTTTTTCCCTAGATTCCTTTATGCCACTGTCTTCTGACTTTGACCTAATTATCCAATCATCCTCATCCTCTTACATTTTCCAGTTCTGGTGTTCAAGGCACATTCAAAAGTTAAAATGATTCAATTAAAAGTACATATGGAGAAGAAAAAAGTTAAAATATACCTAAATTCTAAGTAGAATTAAAAACAATTAAATGATGCCCATTAAAAAAAGAAAATACAGTGGTTATAGACAAGCACCGGATCAGGGACCATCCAATCAGGGATTTATTGTTATCTTTAACATTTATTGCTATATGTTGTATCATTCATGTTATGTAATAAAATATTCATTTTATTAATACATGTGTTATCACTTTGTGATATAAAGTGTTCAAGGAGAGAATGCCTCTAGACCATGGCCATATAGCCCGAAAAAACCTACAACAACCCAAAGTGTTCAATATTTTAAATACTATTAAAATTTAAATGTAATAAATACAGGTTGAGTCTCACTTATCCAAAATGCTTGGAACCAAAAATCTTTTGGATTTTGGGGGCGGGGGGGGGGGGGGGGGGGGGGGGGGGTTGAGTTGTCATTCCCCCAATTTCAGAATACTTTTACTTGCATATATGTACATAATGAGAGATCTTGGAGAGGGGATCAGAGTCTTAACATGAAATTCATTTATGTTTCCTATACACCCTGAAGATAATTTTAAACAATAATTTAGTACACGAAACACAGTTTGTATGTTGAATCACCAGAAAACAAAGATGTCACTACCTCCACCACTGATATGGACAGTTTTGGTTTTTGGAATATCAGATAAGAGTCTCAACTGTTGTAACATTATTCAATAAATTAAATAGTAAAAATTTCTAGTAAGTTTAAATGGAAAGTTATATACAATAATAATTAAAATCAGCACAACTGACACATACAGGCATCTTGGTGTTCTTCCATACAGCTATATAACCCAGAATATCAAGGCAGATAATCCACAATATCTGCTTTGAACTGGATTATCTGAGTCCACGCTATTATATAATCCACTTCAATGTGGATTTTATACAGCTGTGTGGAAGGGTCCTTTGTTGCTTATTGCTATTCAGCTATAAATTGTGTCTATTGTTGAAATAATCTCACTTAAGGAAAGCTATTTTTGGCCCACCTGCAAAAAGTAAGTGTAGAAGTTGGTGCATCGAAACACTTTAAGAAGTAATTGGAAATGAAACAGTCAACATAAGAGAAGTGAAAATTTTTCCCCAGAATTCAGATGTGTTTGTGGTAAGCTTCACAAATGACAACTGTTCAAATCCTAAACATGGATCCAGCTCATTTTCATTCAATTTCTTGAAAAAGGAAATAATTTTTGTTGTTCTAACATATATACACAGCCATTATTTCTAATAGCAATACTAGACAGACAATTATTTAAAATCTAGGTAAATAGCAGTCTTGATAGGTGATGGACGGTTTATTGGCATATATATTCCACTAATCTAACATATATACACAGCCATTATTTCTGCTAAAGGCTGAAATATGCGGTATAAAAGTGAAGCAAATAAATAAATAAATAATCTGCACAGAATTCTGAACATAAAATTTAAGTTGCTTCATAAATTTCAGCCTTGTCTTTAAAAACAACAGCAAAAAAGTGTAATTAGCTTCTTTATCCAGACTCTGTGAGGTTGCTTATTTATAACCAATCTTTCTTGGATGTTTGCATTCCTTGTAAACGTCAGTTTGTGCTTGAAAAAGTATATGCTCAGTGTTGTGTTGGAGACGAGCCAACGAGTACTCTGTTTTTTGCAGCAATAAATTTAGCTAGCTCTTAAAGAGTTTTCTTTTTTCAAGTGTAATGCTATTGTTCATTGAGTTTCATTTTTTAAAAAAGTTTTGCAACCTTTTTAACAGTAGTTTACAGTGCTAGAAAGTCATTCTAAGAATGCAGTGTGTTTTCACATTATGATTTTATCATGATAGGACTATAAATGCCCTGTTTTGGCAGGATTTTAGCAGTAGTTTACAGTGCAAGGAAATTCTAAGACTGCAGTGTGATTTCACATTATGATTTTATCATGATAAGACTATAAATGCCCTGATTTGGGATTTTTCTGCAGATAGTAGCACTCCTTGAGCAGATGTCCACTCTGAATACTTCTGCTAATGGAAAGTTGTGTAGGATTGGGTTGAAAATTGAATATCATCCTCAACATAGTTCTGGAAGGACTCTCAGTCATCTGGAGCAGATTTTAAGGAGACTGCAGGCAAATATTGACTCTCCAAAAGGCTGCTACAGGTGGAATGAACCCTTTGTCCTAGGCCCCATCTATCTACACTGCCATATAAAATTCAAATTATCTGCTCGAACTTGATTATATGGCAGTGTAGACCCATGTAATCTAGATCAAAGCAGATAATGTGGATTATCTGCTTTGATAATCTGGATTATATGGCAATGTAGATCCAGCCTTAGTCAGCAGGAATCAGGAATGAACTGCAGAGCATGAGGCTGGGAAAGGAAGACCATGATAGAAGTTTCTCTTTGCTGTTGTTGTGAATCTTGTTAAGTAATTTCTGACCTATAGCGACCTTAAGGAAATCTATTACATGGTTTTCTTGGCAACATTTGTTCAGAAGTGTCTTGCGATTGCCTTCCTCTGAGCCTGCAAACTTTGGCTCATTGGTTGCTCAATGAGTTTCCATGTTTGAACAGGAATTTGAATACTGGTCTCCAGGGACATAGTCCAACGTCAAACCACTATACTACATTGACTCCCTTCAGAAATTTCTGTAACTGGAAAAATTGAAGTCCAGTAAACTGCTTCTGAGTAGTCCTTGGTGAAAACAACCCTATGAAATTCATAAGGTTTCCATAAGGTGACAGGTAACGTGAAGGCACAGGACACGAGTAACATAATGAACTATGAAAATCTCCACTGTGTGTGATTTTCAACAGGAGATCTTAAGTTTGGTGCTGTCAGTATGCCTAGTAAGGCCTAGTTTTATTTCTCTGTGTTCAATAAATTATTGAAGTGTCGTGATATGGCTGAAGATTTGTATATATTCATGCTAGGTCAGCTCTGAGATATTAGACTTTAAGAAATAGTATACTTTAGGACATTAAGCTCAGCAAACAGGGCACAGCAAGGCATATCCTGGAATCATTACCCTGGGTTCTGTGATATTATCAAATGTTGCATCTATGTTTAATATTTGTTTTAATGCTTATGTCATATAGCCAGATGCCGGATAGTGCAATCATAGTGATACAGCATTCCAGATGCCATGTTTGTGATGAGACCAACTATAACCACGCACCTGCCTTAATGATAGCTTTGTAGGACTAGGGGCCCTTCCACGTAGACCTATATCCCAGAATATCAAGGCAGACAATCCCACAATATCTGCTTTTAACTGGGTTATCTGAGTACACACTCAGATAACATGAAATTTCCTGCCTTGATATTCTGAGATATAGGGCTGTGTGGAAGGGCCCTAAGTGCTGGCACATCAGTGTTAAGAGGTGGTTTTCTACCTGTGTTTTTTCTCCACAATGAACTAATTATTTTGACAAATGTTAATCTGTCTCAGAAACTGAACCTATACTTGGGAGTTCAACAGATGTTGATCCTTGTTAGTTCTGTTGCTCCTTCTTTTGGGACTTTGCTAACTTGTGATAACTTTTTTTAGACTGGTATTTTGACTTGCCAGGCTTACAATCTAAATATTTCTAATGCTTTTTCAGAAATATAATTTATACTTGCTATTTCTCATATTGTATGATATAGACTGATTTTATGAAGAATGTTTTGAGTATTGAATAATTGAATAATATGTGTACTGGATTTGTTTATTAATGTTACTGCCAAGATTCAAGGATTAGCCAATTAAGCATCTTTTTGGGTTGTTGTGAGTTTTTTGGCCTCTATGGCCATGTTCCAGTAGCATTCTCCTAATGTTTAACCTGAATCTTTGGCTGGCATCTTCAAAGGTTCTGCCTTTTTTTCCCTTTTGACTCATTAAACTCAAATTGTATGTTAACAACATGCCGAAGTTGTCATCTTTGTGAGATATTCTATGAGATAATTTATCAGTTTGAGAAACAAAAGCTTGTGCTTAGTATACAAGGGAAATAACTTTCATGTTTTCTTGACCATCTTCTGTTCTCATTCTAGACTTATTGAGTGAACTCTCCCAATTATAGATCTCATACAGTTATGATTGGCCAATTTTTTTTTGAATGAAAGGTTCCAATTTGATTTTTGTTAAATAAATATTGTGTCATATTCCAGGCACAGAGGTTGGCTTGCCAGGCGACTTTGTTATGTCCTTTTTGTGCAAGAAAGAGATGTTCATAAGGGAATGTTTGCAAGTAATGTGACTGAAAACGTTCTGAACAGCAGTAGGTAAGTGACTGAACATCATTTTATTTAATGAAACCAAAATGTTCCTGATTTATGTCCAAGCAAAGAGGTCTTGAATTCTTTCCCCTATACTCAAAAATAGCATGCAACCCCATGGAAGCATCACTTTATGCTTTTGTCTGTTGATGTGAGATGAATAACATTGAATTAAATATTCTATTTTTTTTTAACATCCAGAGTGCAGGATGCTATTATGGAGGAGGCTTCAGAAATGTCAGCCGTGAGTGGCACAGGTCAGGTGGACCCTAGAAACATCAGTAAAGTCAAGAAGAAAGCTAGAAGGATTCTTCAGGAAATGGTAGCAAATGTCTCTCCTGCTTTGATCAGGTAATGAAATTAGCTATGGTGGTCAATATCTCTTAATTCATCGTAGTTTTTAGTGCTAAACTGAAGTCTCTGTATTCAGACAAAACTGTGAGTTGTGTTGTGTCGTTATTTCAAGGTGAATTCAAATGTATTTGTTCTCTTGATATATACATGTGTGTGTGTGTGTATCTGTATGGAGGTGTGATTTTGTAAATAACTATGTAACACTAATATTGTTCCTGGGTTATAAATACCATTTTCTAAATGGTTCTATCATAAAAACATGCAACACGTTTATTAAACTGCAAAAACTTTGCTTTTGCAAGACATCCTGCAGCACATTTTGCTACAGTTTTTCAATGAATATCTCATAAGAGTCTCAACGAATTCAGTGTAGTTTGTGGCAGCCATATAATTTATTATTTATTTATTTATTTACTTTATTTGTATACCGCTCTTCTCAGCCCTTAGGTATTGGAACCTTTTACTTTCATGTAAAGTTATCATGGCTTTTCTTTGCAACTAGGATTTCTTAAATGTTTATTTTATGCAGGTTTCTTGGTTCTTTAATAGACTTTGTTTATAATCTGTATTTTCAAGGTAGCTGGTATCTGCACTGCACAGAACATGTATGTACAATTCTTGCATGATGATTCAGCTTTTATTGCCCTTTCAGGTTAACAGGATGGGTGTTATTGAAATTATTTAACAGCTTTTTTTGGAATATCCAGATTCATAAAGGCCAACTGGAGATGGTGAAAGCAGCAACGGAGGTAATAAAATAATGGAGCAATTGTACAAGATTGAACTGTTCTTTAAATATAACATACTGCAAATATAGTTATCTTAGTCACCAAGACATTTGTAGCAGGATATTTTGAGCTGTACAAGATTTGAATAGGGAACAATAATAGTTCCACTCACTGACTCATTCCTGTGGGAGAAGATATTTAGTCAGAAGATACTTTCAGACATAAAAGATAATTGAGTAGAATGTTTCCTTTATATGGCTTAGTTAAAAAGTGAAGAGCTGATAATAAGTTTATAATTGCCTAACCACATCTCACTAAGGAGTGAATTTGGGAAGGAATCTCTCTGTGTCTCTTCAATCCCTATGTATAGGGGCGCTTCCATACCGCCCATAATATCTCCTTTGAACTGGGGCCTCTTCCACACAGCTGAATAAAATCAAACATCTGCTTTGACCTGGAATATATGGCAGTGTGGACTCAGTTAACCTAGTTCAAAGCAGATACTATGGGATTTTTTTGCCTTGATATTCTGGGTTCCACCTTGTCTCCTGTGCTATGCTAATAATATAATATAATATAATATATTGTATATACATATAATATTTATAACATAATTAATGCAATATAATACTACTAATAATAATAATATATTAATATATATTTATATTACATGTAGTATAACTACTAATATTACAATATAACAGTATAGTACAATATAGTAATATTTAATACTGATATTGTACTATGCTCATAACATAATATATTGTATGTGTATATATATATATATCTTGTAAGCCGCTCTGAGTCCCCTTCGGGGCGAGAAGGGTGGCATATAAATGTCATAAATAAATAAATATGGCTGTGTGGAAAGGCCCTGGGTTATCTGAGTCCACATTCAGATGTGGGATTTTCTGCCTTGATATTCTGGGGTTATGTGGAAGGGCCCTCAATTTCCATGATCTTGGCTTACAACACAAAGAACAAGTAGGCCTCTTTGTACCTCCTGAATGAAAAACCATCTAATGTTGATTGAAATCAAATTCCACACTTTAGCCTATGTGTCATCGGGCATTACTTTGGGGCCCTTCCAGACACATCCTATAACCCAGGATTTGATCCCAGGTTTTCTGTTTATCCCAGATTATCTGGCAGTGCGGACTCGGTTTAAAGCAGAAAACCTGGGATCAGATCCTGGGATATAGGGCCTGTCTGGAAGGGCCTTGAGATTTAGAAAAGTCCTGAATGTATATCATCAGCTTTTTGTGCAGACTGATGATAACCCAGTTAAGTTTCAAGCAACACATAACAAAGAAAAAATATGCTCACTGCTGATAGTCAACTGGGTCACTACTGTTACATTACTACTCCCTTCTCCTATCTTCTCATCTCAGCTGAAACCAGATAGCAGAACATTTCAGTAAGGCTGGGGTTTTGGTTTCATCTCTAGTATCTTTTGGGATTCACTGGACCCTTGCAACAACTTTCTAGAATAAACTAATAATATTAAATAAGACAGTCTGAGAAGGGGTTAGCGCAGGTCAGATTCATTCATACCTAATCACTCATTTGTGATGTTACCTTGGTATGATATATACTTATCATCGTTGTGAAATATTGATTTGAATGTCTTGTGTATTGTTTCGCTTGTTCTATACTATATTTTTGCATATAGCTGTGTTAAGTGAAAATTAAAGGGTTTGCATATAATTAAAATTCTTATGATGCTCATCAACATTATATAAGTGCAGGCAGTCCCCGTGTTATGGATAAGTTTATTCTTAAGTTGAATTTGTATGTAAGCCAAAACAGGTACAATACACACACAGAGAAAGAATTTTTGATAGCATGGGGAAAAGTTTGCTATCTGTGGCCCTGTTCAGAAGATTTTATCTCACTTTCTGTCCCTGTGACAATTGGATTTTGAAAAGTTTGTATTGTTGTGGAAACAAGGATTGGTGATAAAACTTCAGCTGAGACACCTTTCCCAAATGGTCTCTTTTTCGTGAGTGAATTTCCCTTTCTAGTGGTAAATTTCTTCTAACTTTGTGTTGTTTCATCACCATTTGTGACTAGGAGTCGGATGTTTGTAACTTGGGGACTGCCTGTAAAATATATTTCATTGCCTGTTCATGACAGGGGAACTCTTGGCGCTCTCATATTGATATGGCTGCCATAATTTGAAGCTGACTTGAAGGCAAATAACACTAATGGCCTGTTATTTGTACTGTGATTTGTTATCTGAAATATGTTGTTCTTCCTGATTCCCATCCCCAATTGTTAAAAATTAAAATGTTGGAATGCAAAGAGTATCTTAATTGCCAAAAACTAGTAGAAATGTGAGATCAGGATGGGAAAAAAATGAAAAGTAAAAGGTTGGTTGGAATATACCTAATATCTTATTTTCTTTTTCATGCAGCAAAATTTGCCTCTTATCTTTCTACCAGTTCACAAATCTCATATAGATTACCTCCTTCTCACCTTCATCCTTTTCTGCCATAACATCAAAGCACCCTACATTGCTGCAGGGAATAATCTGAGTATCCCCATTTTCAGGTAATATTCGTATTGGTGTATATTGTTGTTATGTCAATATGAGCCATATTAATGGTGTCATCGGTCCTAGAGAAATTAAGTGTCTTGGCTAGTCATGATAGATTACATATGTTTTTATATTGCTTATACATAGACAGCAATAGTTTTATTAGTTCTGTAGTGATAGATGAATGCTGGTGGGATTAACAAAAATAGTAGGGCTGAATCTATCCAACCTTGCAATTGCAAACAGAAGTGTTTGTTTCATATAGAGTTTTTAGTCCAGTATAATACACTTGGTATCAGTGGTTAGCTAATCTCTCATTATGCAAATTATAAGCAGCCATACTAGTTACACATCTTTCACCAAGTGATTCTATAATACTTCTTCTTTGTTGCACCCACAGTTCAGGCTGTGGAGTACACATTGCAATGAATCATCTATGCTAGTGTGATGTATTATGCTTTAATTGCTGCACATGAAAGTAGAAATATCAATTAAAATATCTGTTAACTTGTAAAATTATAGAGACATTAGTTAGCTTAGAGGTGTTGGGGTGTAAAAAAAATCATAACAGACTGTGAGTATTATGCCATAAATTAAGAAGGTGGAAAGAAATAGTAGATTTGTCTGGTGGGATTTATGGTTTGCTAGTGGCCTCCATATTTTTATTGATTTATGAAGATGAATTCTTGATCTCATTCTATATTTAGTGCAGTATTAATAACCATCTGAAAGGATACATATATATTTGTCTTGATGAATCAGTAGACATTGCTAGTATAAGACAGTTTTAATTGTGAAGTTGCAGTGATGAAACTTTGATTTGGTTGATTGTGATGTATGGTTTTCAAGGAATTGGAAGAAAATAAACAATTGGAACCCAGATTATACTACTTTAAATATAAAGTATGAGTGGGCAATGGACACTTCCAGGGTGATTAACTCTCCTTTAACCCTGCAAACAACCACAGATTCTGCATCCATGGATTCTGCTATTGAACTTGAATAGATAGATAGATAGATAGATAGCAAACCTTGATAAGGAAAACTATTTGACTATGCCATTGTCTATAATGGGAATTGAGCATCCATGGATTTTTGTACCCATGGGAGAGTCTGGAACAAAACCCCAGTGCATATCAAAGGTCTATTGTACTTGCCGTATATATACTCAAGTATAAACCAAGTTTTTCAGTCCTTTTTTAGGCTGAAAAAGCCCCCCTCAGCTTATACTCAAGTCAAAGTTATTTATTATTTTACTTGTTGTTGTTATTGATGTTACATTTATTATTTTACTCTTATTATTACATTTATCATTTTCTCTATTTTCTATTACATTTATTATTTTACTGTCTTAATTATTGTTGTTATTACATTTATTTTACTCTTTATTATTATTCATGGAAAGATACGTAAGCCCATTTACATTAAAGAAGGTTAGAATAATCAGAGTTGGACAGTCTTATCTTCAGTTACAGTTTTATGTAAATATTCGAAAACATTTAACCTACTGTTGCCTCAATGAATGTAATTTTATTGGTATCTATTTTTATATTTGAAATTGACCAGTAGCTGCTGCATTTCCCACCCTCCACTTATACTCGAATCAATACAGTTTTTTTTGTGGTAAAACTAGGTGCCTCAGCTTATACTCGAGTATATACGGTATTTCATTATTTAATTTCTAGTTCATTTTTCTTTTTAATGGGGTCTAAGGCAGCTCCCAACATAGGAATATTTCTAAACAATAAGTCTTCCTTTATGCAACCTCTTTGCTCCATTTTAAAGGGCAAACAGAAAGGAAGTTTAGTCCTCCCATGTTACTCCACTTTTGCTTACTGTCTTTTTATTTTCATAAAAAAGTATCTTAATGAGGAAACAATGGAATAGATGTACAACTAGTCCCCAAGTTACAAACATCTGACTTGAGAATGGAGTGAGATAACAGGAAGTGAGAGAAATCTACCCCGCTGGAATGGAAATTCTTTTTTGAAAGCGTTATCATGGCAAAAAGGTGTCTCAACTGGAGCTTTATCGCCAATCCTTGCTTTCACAACAAGCTAGATTTTTCAAAATCCAATTATCACAGGGACAGAAAGGGAGGTGAAATCTTTTGAACTGGGGAACAAGCAACAAAAACTCTGCAGGGCTACTAACCCTTCCCTATGCTATCCAAAGTGAATATATACACTTAAAAGTTTACCTGTTCCAATATATAGACAAATTCAGTTTAAGAACAAGTCTACATAACCTACCTTGTTCGCAACATGGGGACTGCCTGTACAGTGTTCTTGATTGGTGGCACTTCAAGTCATCAGTTTTGAAGTATCTTCAAAGCTTTTAATCTTACGGCCAATGAATATATTTTAAGGTTGCCAGAAATAGAAATTAACTTTCATCCACAGAGGAAGCAATAAGAGAGTAAAATGGTGCTCTGTGCAATACAATAGTCATTCAAAATAAAGTAATGCCATATCATTATAATTTTTTGAGCTTGTAGTGATGTATTGTATATATTTTTCTATAGCACATTGATCCGCAAACTTGGAGGATTTTTTATTCGGAGGAGGCTGGATGAAAGGCCTGATGGACGCAAAGACAATCTGTACAGAGCCTTGCTGTATGTGGTATGTGTTGCTTATCTACACAATGAAGACAGGGCATCTTTTCAGGCTCATGGGGAGTTTAAACAGAATTCAAAGACTAAATTGCAAGAAAAGCAACCCAGAGCCTTGGAGCTTCTCCAAATAATTTCCTTTCCACTGACATTAAAAAAAAAAATGGGGAGACTTTTACCTTATTGATAGGAATTCATCAGGTCTTTGGCAGAGATACCAAGTTTAAAGTTCTCAGCAATCAATAATGAGATTACTTTTATCTATTGAAATATGCATTTTTCTCCTTAAAAAAGAAAATGTGTTATCTATGCTCCAGTCTAGGTCTGAAGGAAAAATAGAGAACAGGAAAATAATTTATAGAAATGTGATGATTTGTTGTGTTGCTGTTTACCACATGCATCCCAAACAGAAATTTGTATACCTTAATTATATAATGAGACTGTTTCTCATATTTTGAATACAGTTAATTTGCGCTGCTGCCCTCAGCAAATGTCAAGGACACCTATGATCTTTTCGTATTAGTTGCCCTTCTGTGCAGCTGTATGTAATCCTCATAAAACTAATGGGATCAAGTGCATGTGGACTAGAATTACCTTACAGAGACCTTGGCTTACTGCCACTGGTGTTGCTAGAAACCGTGTGGGCTCCTTTTTGTGTCAGCTCAAATAAATTGGATTTTAAAGGCTGCGTTCCTTGTATTCCTCTGCAACAAGATAGCTTTAATATCAAGTTTTAATGCTGTGATTTATGTCCCCAATTATCTGTAATATCACAGATGTCTGGATTAGAAGAAATGTACAGAATTGAATGTGTATCATAACCCTAAAAATGCTTGTGTCCTTGCTGTATGAGGAGATACTAGAAGAAGGAAGCGGAAAATAACAGCTTCCCCAAACCCACACATCTACTGTCTATACCAGGCATGGTCAAACTTTGGCCCTCCAGGTGCTTTGGACTTTAATTTCCACAATTCCTAACAACCTACCTGGAGGTTTGAAGTTTGCCCATGCCTGGTCTATACATACATACACATTATATAAAAAACAAAGTGCTTAGATATTGAATCAGCTGCCTTACCTAATACTGAGCCCTTTATCACTATATAGCACAATGAGAAGGATTCAAAGAGTGATAGGAAGAAAAATACTGTATATACTAAAGCATAAGCTGAGTTTTTCAGGCCTTTTTTAGACTGAAAAAGCCCCCCTCGGCTTATACTCAAGTCAAAGTTATTTATTATTTTACTCTGTTATTATTATTTTAAATACATTTATTATTTTACTCTATTTATTATAACATTTATTATTTTTCATTATTATTATTATTATTATTATTATTATTATTACATTTATTACTTGAATCTATTATTACTATTATGTTTACATTATTTTACTCTATTATCATTTTTATTACATTTATTATTTTTCTCTATTATTATTACATTTATTATTTTTCTCTATTATTACTGTTACTACATTTCCATTATTTTATTCTTCATTATTATTGGAAGGATACGTAAGCACTTTGACATTGAAGAAGGTTCGAATAATGGTTTAATCAGAGTTGGACAGTCTTGACTTAAATTACAGTTTTATTTAAATATTAAAAAAACATTTAACCTACAAATGCCTCAGTTAACGTTATTTTATTGGTATCTGTTTTTATTTTGAAATTTACCAGTAGCATTTCCCACCCTCGGCTTATACCTGAGTCAATATGTTTTCTAAGTTTTTGTAGTAAAATTAGGTGCCTCGGCTTATATTTGGATCAGCTTATATTCGAGTATATATGGTAATCCTTTCATTTGCACCTGTAATGTTTGTGGCAACAGAAGCCTTGTGTTCTAAGTTTGGTGGGTTTCTTAGGTTCATGTCAAGAATCTGAGACCCCCAGCCTCCCTCCCCCAAACCGAGTACCTGAAACTGTGTGGATCAGTGGTTCTCCACCTGGGGTCCTCAGATGTTTTTGGCCTTCGACTCCCAGAAATCCTAACAGCTGTCAAACTGGCTGGGATTTCTGGGAGTTGTAGGCCAAAAACATCTGGGGACCCAAGGTTGAGAACCACTGGTGTAGATAATAGCAAATGGTGTCTGATTTTAGTTTCATCCCTTCTTCTTTTACAGCATGTTCAAGAATTGCTCCGACAGCAACAGTTCTTAGAGATATTCCTGGAGGGCACACGGTCTCGGAGCGGGAAGACATCCTGCGCAAGGGCAGGACTCTTATCAGTGGTGGTGGATGCTCTCTGTGTAAATGCTACACCTGACATATTAATTATACCCGTGGGAATATCCTATGATAGAATCATTGAAGGTCACTACAATAGCGAACAGCTGGTAAGAGAGTCTGAAATGTTACTGTTGGTGAGATCTTTTTTAAAAATCGAATGATAACTGTTCTTTTGAGACAGGATTATCAACATTGCATTTATAACATTTGTAACAAAATGATGTCATAAGATAAAATGACATTTCAATAATTATTTTATTCAGAAAGCATTTAAAATGTTTCATTTGGAGGAAACATCTCTAGAAATGGAAGGTGGTGAATTTTGTTTTTGAGTATGCACTAAAGTAATTTGAATTTATCTAATATTTAATTAGATCAGTATATATTTTTTAACATTTTTTATATATTTCAGGGAAAGCCCAAGAAAGATGAAAGCTTGTGGAGTATAGCCAGAGGAGTCTTCCGAATGCTACGGAAGAATTATGGATGTGTTAGAGTTGATTTTGCACAACCATTTTCTTTAAAAGTGAGTTAATATAAAATGGCATAATTTCGTATTCTAGAGCTACATCTATGATGGAGAGAAATACGTGCTATTTGTGACTTATGTGAAGGAGAAGGAGGAAGAAGAGAGGAAAAGAAGGCTGTTTCCTGTCTACATCATGACAGATTTCTACTGGTTGAGGAAAGGAGTTTGGTACCTCCCTTTTCTGAAGGAAAGACACTAGATTCTCTTTGGTGAGAGAGGTGCTTGGACATGCTGAATTAGTCGTGTTCAAGAAAAACAAAATTGTCACAACATATGCAAATGGGCTGTGGTTGTTTTAGTCTACTAGCTAATTCTGTTGAATTCTGTATTAGTCACTCCCAAGTGATTGGTAGCAGTTGCCGGAAGAACCATGTTTCAGAAGAACAATGCGAGAATTGAGTAGGAAGTTTTAAGTGGCTAGCATCACTTTTGCTGCCCAGTTTGTATTAAGCACATGTGGGTGACAAAAAAGGAACTGAAGATGATCTTATTCCTTAGTCATGATTTGCTACTTCGGGATATGCCATTTCAGATTTTGTTCACTGAAAAAAAGAAAAATACCATGTCTTCGAAATAACTATTATGGTCCACTACTATTACTGTGAGTTTTTTTTGGTTGATTTAGTGATGTTTGTTCTCTTTCTATCATTCTGTCTTGCATGTGTTAAACATTTAGTTCTTCCTGGACTAGTTTTGAATTTATTTCTTTTTGCTTCATTTTTGCGAATTGGGATATTTATTGATATGTTCCCTGTAGGAATATCTAGGTCTTCCACCATGACACTATGATCGTTTTTTGCCAGAAGTTGACTGTCGGGTTACAATGGAAGACCTAGAGATTCCTATAGAGAAGTTCTCTCAGGTTAAAAAAGTGGCATTTTTATTCACATTTTTCACATTTACATGGGATCCATTGGCTCTCACCCCCGTGAAAGTGGAGGATTTACTGTATGTCCACAGACCTAACACCATTCTAGGAATACTGGTGACTTCTGACTTAGATAGCATACTCCTGGTTTTAATTACGGTCCCAGAGTAGGAAAGGGACAGACCAAAAAGGTTATCTAGTTCTACCTCCTTTCATGCAGGAATACATAGCTGGAGTATTCCTGAGAGGTGTCGTCTTTCTATTTCTAAAGAGAGTTCATCACTTTCTGAGGCAGAAGTTCTTCCTAATATTTAGATGGAAACTTTTTCTTGTAATTTGACTCCATTGGTTCATGGTCTAATCTCTGAAGCAACAGAAAAACAAATTCATTCCATCTTCTATATGACATCCTTTAAATATTTATAGAGATGGCCGTCATGTTGCCTTCTAATCTTCCCTTCTCTAAGCTAAACATACCCTAAGATGTAGTTTCGAAAGTTTTCTCCACTTTCCTCTGGACACATTCCCACTAGTCTGTATCACTTGCCTGAGCTGTGATATTCAGAACTGAGCACTGTATTTCAATTGGTCAAAGCACAGTGAAATAGTACTATCACCTTCCTTGATCTGTACACTGTGCTCCTTTTCATGCACCCTAGAATTGCATTGGCTTTTTGGCCACAACATATTGTTATCTTAAGTCTATCTTGTGACCTCATGAGAACTCGGCTGATATACAGTCAAAATAGGCGTCACCCATTCTATATGTGTGTACGTCGTTTTTCTTGCCTAACCTAACATATGTCCCTCTTCAAATTATTTTTATTCATTTTGGCCAGCCTGTCAATCTGCTAACATCATGCTGAATTCTAATTCTGTGCTCTTGGAACATTAAAGTGGTTATCTAAGGGATTTCCTATTAGACATTGATCTTACTTCATTTCCTTCTATGTTTTGTGGGTGTCCTGCTCAGAATGCATTCAGAATGTATTGAGTTTAAAGGTAAAGGTTTTCCCCTGACATTAAGTCCAGTAATGTCTGACTCTGGGGTGTGGTGCTCATCTCCATTTCTAAGCTGAAGAGCCGGCATTGTCCGTAGACACCTCCAAGGTCATATGGCCAGCATGACTGCATGCTGGTACCTTCCCGCTGGAGCAGTACCTATTGATCTCACATTTGCATGTTTTCGAACTGCTAAGTTGGCAGAAGCTGGGGCTGACAGCGGATTCGAACCTGCGACCTTTCGGTTAGCAAGCTCAGGAGTTCAGCGCTTTAACCCACTGCGCCACCGGGGGCTCATATTGAGTTTACAGGGGCCTAATAATAGTTAACTCGCTGGCATATTGTTCGTTTGCCTTTATAAGTGAAAACATTGCGAAGCTAGCCTCCTACTTTTGCTGAAGCATGAGAGAAACTCTTAAGAATGATTTTTATGATCTTGGAAAAAAAAGGTTGCAACCTAGGAATATTTCAGCTATTTGAGATATGTAGGACATTTCTAATCAACATGGTTTCATTCTAACTGTGCTACTGGAAAGTGATAAGAAGTTTTGGATGCATAATTTAACAAGCCAGCAGAACATAATCGCCCTTTGAAAATTGAAAAAGGAGATTTGCAATTAAAACCATATATGCTTCTTCACAGGGGTAGAGTTTTTCTTTTTTGTAAATTAGTAAATAAGATAATTTTACTGAAATACAAAGGGTCGATAGTCTATAAAAATAGTACCTAGTGACTCTTTTTCTCTAAATAAAATAAATTATAAAGTATATAGAACTGATATTCTGACTGCCATTTTTAAATGTTTCAGAATATTACCCCTCCAACAACTATCATTTTAAAACTATATATTTTGGATAGTTCTCAATGAATAAGACTGAAGATTCATTCTGCACAAAATATATTCAGCTGTAAAAAAATACTCAGCTCCACTTAGCCAGTTTTTGATAGTTCATTGCCCTTCTGGATAATGAAGGTAACTTGTATACCCACTGAAATATAGACTTATTTAACCGGATCTTGGACATTTTACCTCTGTTCCAGATCTCCTTTTTCCTTCTCAGGCTTACACACCTATCGTTTCACCAACTAATCTGTCATTCAAAAAATGTTACCCTGTAATAGGGCAGGCTACTGCTTTAATTTAATTACAGTACAATTTGTTACCAAGAGTAGAGGTGAAGATGTCTCTCTTATTCAGTCTGCACTAGTTAATGGCAAAATTTAACAACAAAGCTTTTTCCTGACAAAAACTTCCAGCATCTCCAAACAGACAATAGTAACAAAGTTCACTGTTCAGAATCACTCATTATTTTTTCTTGCATGGTACAGGAAATTAGAAGCCTAGACTAGACATTGTTTAACTCTTTTCAAGTTAATATTTCAAATACCTAACCTTTGTAGAAATTCCCAGATTAGATAAAATTGTGGAGAATTGTAAAAAATAAGGTTCTATTCTTTTAAAGAAAAAGGTTCTTTAGAATGACGCACAAAATACAATAAAAAAACAATTCAGCAGTAATGCTGGGAGCTTGCTAGATGTTATTGTGTTAGAAAAATAGTCATATGCAGTTGGGAAATATTATCCAAGCCAATTAGAGTGTCACAAAAAAGTCTGCAAGTTTTTGCATTTCCCAGGATTTCTTATCAGGCAGGATGGTGCTAAGAACATGTAATATGGGAAAGAAGGAAGACTAGAAACTGGTGGGAAACTCGCCAAAAATGAAGCTAGATATTTAAGCCATAATACTTAGAACCAAGGTTGGCAAACAGATAAAGGACACATAAAGTCCAGGCAGTGTGGTCAATAAACAGGGAATAGAGAAGTAGTATTATCTGCAGGATAATACACAACCTAGAATAAGAATTCCTTTTATTATTTATTATTATTTCCCGTATTTGTATCCCATTACTTCTCAACCCCCGAAGAGGGACTCAGGACGGCTTACAATGTGCCCTGTTACGAGGCTGCTACATGACAATTACAATAATAAAATCACAATTGGACACAAATCATAGTTAAAACAATACATAAGCAATCATTAAAACAGTAAAACAGTCTTGTCAGCTTTTAAAATCCTTTTCCATTTCTGAACCCTCCATTCTAGTCTTCCATAACTTGCAGTCTAATAGTAGTAGTAGTAGTAGCTTTATCTTTATATCCCGCCAACCATCTTCCCTAGGGGACTCAGGGCAGCTTACAAGAGACAAGCCCAAAAATTATAAATAAATACAAAGACAAATAAAATCAATCAAATCAAATAATAAAGCAAACACAGTGATGACAACATCAAAACAATATGGCTGAAATAAAGGAACATAGCTGAGATTCAAGCTCAATGAGTGCAATAAATCCTGAAAGAAGCCCAAGGAAAGTGCCAAAATCAAATAAACAGGGGCTGGGGAATACTGTTATCAAAAGTGTCGAGGTAGCCGATAAGAGCCAAAATAAGGTGCAGAACTTAAAGTAGGGACAGGATAGTTACTGGTGGACTGCTTAATCAAAGGCACAATGGAACATCCAGATCTTTAATTCCTTCCAAAAGATAGTTAGATATTTTGGGCTGTAACTCCCAGCACCAGTGACAATCAGTCAGACCTGGAAAGTCTGCTACTTCCAGCATGGTGCAGTGCTTTGAACAGTGAATTTCGACTCTCGAGACCAGTGTTCGATTCCCTACTTGGCCAATGAAATCATTGGGTGATCTTGGGTGAGTTATATACTCTCAACCCCAAAAAACTCAGTGATGGGTTCACCTTATGATTGCTATAAGTCAGAAATGACTTGATGGCATACCTCAACAACAGGTGTCCACAACATCTGAAGGGAATTGGATTAAAGGGGTTGCTCTGCCTGTTCTGTACGGGTTTTTCTCAGTTCTCAGGTCCACAGATGGTGCTTGGACTACAAATTCTTAGGCAGAATGATTAAATAACAACTGCAAACTCAAAGTTAGGCAAAACTGAACCTTATTTTAGGAAAGAGTGTTGTATGCCAGTATAAGACCTCTCCTTTTAGCTGTATACGGATATGTAGTTCTTCAAAGAATATGCTGTAAGTTTTATTGCATGTTCATTGTTCTATGGCCGCTAGTGATTTTGTATATTTCATATATTTACAGGAATATTTAGATGGCCAAAGCCAGAAACCCATGCCTGTCCCTCCTCCATTGGAGCAAACACTCTTACCAGCTATTCTACCTTCAAAGTAAGACCAAATTGCATTTGTAAAATCAATGAGAATATCTTAACTCTTATACTAAATCTATTAATATTTTATTACAACTCTTCAGAAGCTTTGTTACAGACCACAATGAACCTAAAATGGTCATATTTAATTTAAGCAAATACAATCACACAAGGTCTACAGACCACTTTTATATTATGCTTATTATGTTTTCTTTATTAGAGCATTCTATAGTATGTTTTTAATGGATTTACCTGGTTTAAAACAAGAACATATTATAGTTTTAAAGCCATTTTCATATAGCTGTGAAAATATTACTGAAACAAAAGACTATATACAAACAGTTAAGTTGAGTCCTATCTTGGGAGTGAGGCAGGATATAAATAAAATTAATTAATTAATGAAGAAAAAGCTTAATTATACTTCAAAGTCTGTTCCAGGTAGGCAGATGCACTATAAATACATCCTAGGATGAAGATATTTTGTAAGTGGTACAATTTAACTAAGCTCAAACTGTTGCAATGAATGTTTTTTAAGGAGAAACTGAATCGGTCATTAATCTTCAGTGATACATATATTGTTACCTTATTATAAACAGAACATTTGATTGATAACCATCTACTCAATATGTAGTAAATACTGTATTTATTTATTTATTTATTTATTTATATACAGCTCTTCTCAGCCCTTAGGCGACTCAGAGCAGTTTACAAAAGTTTAGATATACAGAATACAAAATCATTATGCATTTAAAAACAATTACTAGTATTATATTGCATTACATTACAATATTATAAATATTATATGTATATACAATATATTATATTATAACATATTATTAGAATAGCACAGGAGACAAGGTGGAACTGTCCCCTGGTCCCTCTTTCTTCGCTCTGGCTCAGAGCGGTAGTTGGTGCTGGAGGGAGGGGTCCTCAACAGATGGCAAATGCAGGAGACAAGATGGTGCTGTCCCTTGGCCTCCCCTCTCTTCGCTCTGGCCCAGAGTGATAGCTGGTGTATTTCACAATTAAGAGAAAGAAAGGTTTGTGACATATTGGTGAAGTAATAGAAATATGACATAATCAGTTTGATACAAGCTCATTTTCCATATACACGTGTTTGTAAGTCAACCTCATGTATAAGAAGTAGTTTGAGGGCCAGATGTGACAATGGATAGGTTGAGGGTCATTCCACAGAGAGGGGAAAGCACATGCCACATTGGGGGGCGGGGGGAGTCACTAATATTTGGTTGTACTTGTGGTCCGCACTTCATTCTGTGAAGGTGTTGGACCACCTGCTTATGTCTATTATAAAATCCAAGTTGTCTTTTGGGTGAAATCTTAGCTCTTCTGGGGAATGATATAGCTACTGATATGGGAGCCCCAAAACTCCCTCTGCCAAAATGCAATGGCTTTATAATGTCATAGGCAAATTGCTATCTCAGTGTGTCCAGAGTCTGATTTGATGGGCATTGTTGATGTTTTCAAGTAGAAAGAGTAAATAGTGATACTCTGTTTTTCTAAAATATTATGCTTTGCCATATATTTTAGAGGATCTCGGAGTAGATATGCGTGGTTCTCATATTGCTTCTTATTGAGGCAACTTTAAAGGGTAATCTTCAGCACTGAAACTGTATTGGAAATTGTTGTCTACTGCCAGTATAAAGGGAAGTCACTACTCAAGGGTTGTTTTTTTCTGGTGCTGCTTCAATGGGATATAATCTTTCTTAGAATTGTAAAATTGTTTACATAAACTCTTATTTTTCTTCAGGCCTAATTTTGTAGTACAAGAAGGTAGAGAAGTTGCACTTCCTGATTCCCAGGATACATCCTGTGAACCATTGAGAAGACATTTGATATCTAACTTGGCACAGCACATAATGTACAGTAAGTAGCTGCTATAGTACAGATCTTTCTTAGCATACTCTCTGCTACCCTGAGCTTCATATATGACAGAACTTTTTCTTCCGTATTTCTTTTTTTCTTCTGAAATACACACACATGTGCACACACAGGGTGTACATTTTATCTTTTTCTTTTTTATCTCAGTGGTAATTTGCACCACAAGGGCCATCCAGTCCAATTTTCTTCCACAAAAGAAGGGGACAACCTCCTAGTTTCTGGTGTAAAGATTCCACATTTATCTCTTGAGAATATATCTAGCAAAGCTTTTTCAGGTTTAACATTATCAAATGACTCATAATGTCCCCATTTCCCTTCATGACCTTGAACTAAAATCAATGTATTGCAGGAGACACTGTTCTAGAGCTGTGTCTTATTTTGCCTTCTGACCTAGTTGTGGTAAACTTCCCTTTGTAAATTATTTTTATTGTCCTTTCCCTTTAAACTACTGAGACAGATTTTATGGGCTTCCTTCATGAAGCTAACATCCAGTTAGCCTCTGGTAAAAAAAGGGCTTTATTACCAAATAACATTTAAATCTTGTGTGGTGAATTTTGAAATTGCCATAATTTTTACAGTTTTTATTATACTTCCTTTTGATCCTATGCTATAGTTGCAAATTGCTCAACATAATCAGACAAATGGATTGTCTTGTTACGTATTGCTTAATATATTATTAAAGAAAATTATAAATTGCCCTTTTTTAACCCCAGTCCAGGGGCATCTCACAGTAGTTTGTTCATGCATAACCCAGATTATATTCACTGCTGATGCAAAGGCACCTGATGTGACCCATCTGGAACATCATAGTGATGCTACCTTTTCAGCCATTAGCGGACACACATATACAACCTTTTTTTACCATCTATTTCGAACCTTTACTACAATTACACAAACTCAGTAGGAGGATGTGTGCCTGGATTTTGTTTAACCTGTAATGGTAGCCCAGACAGTTTGGAAGTTTAGTTTTTATTTGCTTCTTTCTTAACAGTGTGTTTGGGGAATAAAAGTCTTAATCTAGAAACTTTCATCAAACTCTATCGTGCAAGTTAGTTAAGTTTACAAAGATGACAAGACGTTGGATTTGCTACCATGCTTATAAATGGGCAAAGTGAGATGGGGACTAATGATTTAACTGTATTGTCGAAGGCTTTCATGGCTGGAATCACTGGGTTGTTGTAGGTTTTTCGGGCTATATGGCCCTGTTCTAGAAGCATTTCTCTCCTGATGTTTCGCCTGCATCTATGGCATGCTCCTCAGAGGTTGTGAGGACCTCCCAACCTCTGAGGATGTTTGCCATAGATGCAGGTGAAACATCAGGAGAGATGCTTCTAGAACATGGCCATATAGCCCGAAAAACCTACAACAACCCAATGATTTAACTTTTTTTTCCTCATCCCTAAAAGGGTATTCTGAGGGCGTTACATTCAGAATAAAATTAGCAGGATTCTTGCCTTAATACATTTTGTTGTTGAAGTATATCTATTATAGATGTCTTTGTATATAACAACACAGCACACATGCATATTAGGTTCAAGTGTCTGGGATTCATCTCTGAATATAGGGCTCTTCCCAAAGGCCTAGGATATTAGAGGTATTTTCACAGAATGTGCGCAGTTCCGAGAAATGCTGCCTTCTGCAGGATGTGGATTCATGTTCTGTCCAAATTAAGGCTTTTCCCGTGCTTATTGGGGATTAGTGGAATGCCTCCAAGCGCATCAACCACTATTGGTATTATTGTTGTTCTCTTTTGCCATAGTCGTCCAATCTCTTGGTACTCTACGGTTCGCTTCCCATAGACACGCTGTTTCCCAGTTTTTAAAAAAGTAATAATTTAAAATACAAGTACTGAGGGAACACTGTATACACAGATCTATAAACCCCACTTTGGCGAGGGGCGCAGAGAGGGCCACCAAGGCAGCTTCCTCCGGGGCTTCTTCCTCTGGGGCCGGAGAGGACTGCCAGGGCTTCTTCCCGGTCACTCTTCCTTGGACGACCAGGTGAGAGCCCTATGCCAGTGGGGAAGCAGGGAGGGAAGGTTGAAGAGTGGCTTCAGCAAGGGGAGGGGGGAAGGAGATAGGAAGGGAGGGAGGGGGAAAGAGGAGGGGAAGAGAGAGGAGGGGGAGAGAGGAGTGGGCAGAGCTATACTGTACATATACCATACAGTGTCCCTACATTGCGATTTTGATGGGAGACCATCAATGAAAACCAGGTGCTGTAGGCTATATTCCAGAGGAAGGAATTGACACAACTTAAGCATGTTCCATGCCAAAGAAAACCCAATAAAATTAAGTTACCAGACAAACGAAACACACACACATTGTTTCTGGGTAATTCATGCTTACAAAATATTACACTGGCTCACACATATTTTGGTGTCTTAAATGTTAGCCCTGATTCAATTCTAGTTGCCATCTGCTTGTCTGTAAAAAAACCCAGGCTCTCCATAGCAGGTTTTAAAAAGTTGGTTAGTTTTAATTCTTGTATTAAGACAATGGTTCTTCACCAGTTGGTCGCGGACCACCAGTGGGCCCTGAGGACAAAAATCTGGTCTGTGAGCTTCCTCCTTCTTTGTCTTCTTTATTCTTCTTCTTCTTTATTTTATTTCTGCTCCTTTCATGCTGCCTGCCACTCTTTCCCTGTTGCTGACCATTGCATCTGTTCTTTATCAGAAACTAGAGCTGATGTGCTCTATCCAATGCAATTTTCTGAACCGAATCTGTCATTGACCAAATACTTATTCGTAACCCCTTTGGAACTAATGTTGGAGAGTGGTCCCTGGTCAAGTTGTCCTTGGTCAAGTGGTCTCTGGTCAAAGTGGTCCCTGGTCAAAAAAAGGTTGGGAACCACTGTATTAAGATAATAAAAATCTTACTGAAAACAAAAAGGAGATTGTAGAAAATTGTGAGAAAAATCAGATTTCAGTCAATTTTTTTTGAAATCATAGTTTTTATCATGACCAGCTAGGATGCAGTTGCTACCATTAGATGACAGGTGAAAGCAGACATGAACTTTCTGAGCATGCTGATGGGATGGAAGGAAAACAGTAGTGCTTGGAATCTGAATCCTAAAACTGGAAGGGCTATCTAGTTTCACCCCTAACATGCAAGAATGCCCTATTGTTCTCATTCAGCATAAGTTGTAGACTGAAACTTCTGCAGAGCCATAGGTACATCATCCTGACACACAGGGACTTCAAAATGATGAAAAACACCAACTCACGTCCATCTATATGTTGCTGCCTATTGTTCAATCCAGTGCAATATACTGTTGAAATACTATATTTACTCGAGTGTAACGCTCACCTTTATTGGCTAGATTACATTGCTGAAATTGAGGCGTGCATTAGATTTGATGGCTTCCCACCAGGCTTTCTGTGGCCATCACCATTCTCCCATTACATTAGACAACAAATCATTTTTTGTAATGCAGACACATTACATTTGATGGCATTATACTCGAGTAAATACAGTATTAAGCCCTCTCAGTCTAAGCCCTAAAATATAACTATTCTTAGTTTACAAGTTGCTAACGTTTTGTTCCTGTCGCCTTGTAAGCATTTCAACTGCATGACAGAGCACCAGCCTAGCTTTTATTTTATTTTGTTTGCTTTTAGCTGCTAACAAGTCATGTGCTGTGATGTCAACACACATTGTTGCGTGTTTGCTGCTCTACCGACACAGGCAGGTAAGGCTGCTCAGCTTTTGCATTCACAAAGTAATACATTTTATTAGAGCTTGCAGTTTGCCAGTGATGCTGAGAAGGTGTTCTGTGCTTATGTGATCTTATTGTGTCTTCATCATTTCTTGAACTGGATACCCAAATATCACATTCAAACTGACTAGTGAACTAAGTGGTCCAGTTTTGTGGCTAAACAAAGAAATTTGTTCAAAGTTATGTATTGACAGTAAAGTTTGTCTTAGTAGTTAATATATGCCACAACATATATGTATAAATTCATTGATGAAAAGAATTTACATTATTTTAGTCTGGAATATGCATTACCATGCAAATGTTAATGTTTTGTATTACACTGGTTTTTAAATATATATATATATCTATATATACATACATACATATACATAGACAGACAGAAAAAAGGATTGCCTTTGGCCCAGTTATATTAAACTTTTAGATTGTTAAAACATATTCAGTAAATTTGACTATTTATGTGGCATGCATGATCATCCTCATTTTGGGATCAAGAATTATTTTTAAAAATATGGATTGTGTGTGTGTGTAAAATCTAGCTTCCTGTGTAAATTGTGCCATTTGCCGTGGAATTAAGCTTCTCAGATGGTAATCTAAGCTGCTTGTTCTGCTGTGTTGCACGATCCAATATTCCCGTTTATCTGTTCTTCCAACCATTCCCTTTGAGAAACTGTGAGGGAGTATGTAGTGCATGTTCAGGTACAAATAAACAAGTAACCGCATAAACCCAAATAGAGGAACAATACATATAATTGAGAAATGCTGCTTGTCTCTTTCCAGTTACACAGAAGGTCAGCTTGCCAGCTTTTCTGAGCAGTTTATTGATAACAGCATTATAAGGTCTGAATTTTTGGAGTTGAAACATCCCGTTGAGGCAGTTAACGGATGAATAAGAGATGTTTGGGGACATGGTAGGACAAACGTAACACTTGCCAACACACATTTTGGTGCCTGAAATGTTAACCCTATTTCTGGGAATATTTGACCTGCTGACTCTAAAAATGGCAATAGTATTCCCCTATCAATTCTAGTTTTTGAGATACATAACATATGGCATCTACCAGTCGTTATTTGCTCATTGATAGAAAACCATGATAACCATATCTAAAAAACGAGTGAATGCGGTCTACCCAATGCAGTTTTCCAAATCAGTGTCCAAAATAACCCCAGGAACAGTTCTAAAAACCAAGACATCAAGATTTTTTTTTTGTTAGGCTGTGTAATCTGTTGGTGAGACACAACTGCAGTCTGTCTATTGACATAGGTAAATTCTATTGATTCAACAAATCTGTTAGAGACTAACATAGTAGAATCCAGGTCCATGTGTCAAGATATTAGATTGTCAAGAGTGAGGACAATTATCAATACAATAATCCTTACTGAGCTCTTACCTGAAGGTCTTTCTCCTATTTGGAGAAATAGTTCTCAGCAATCTTTGTTATGACCTCTTACACAGTGGTAACTTGGATGGATGGCACTAAAACACAAAGTGTTCATTGGCACTACAGATCTGTGATCAACAGCAGACAAGCAGCATGCTGGTGCTTGTTGCTCAATTGTACCCACTTTCAGATTGATTTGATCATTTGTTTCTAAGGATATGGCACCTGCCCTTCTCTGATTTGTTCCCTGCTCACTACTAGAGAAGAACCAAGAAGAAAACTGAGTTTTGGGTTGGAAAGGAAAAAAAATAGAGAAGGGAAACTGGGATGTCAGGTGGCACAAGTAAAGTGCAAAGCAATGGCCTGTGATCTGGCCACTTTTGTTGTTGAACAGTGTGCACTAGCGCAGGGCTCTTAGCTGATGCCTGGGCTCTTGTGTTATATAATTTCACTCAATTTTATGAAAAAATAATAAATTACCCTTAGAAGATGTGTGCTAGAATTGAGTTCAGATTATACATAGAATCCTGGGATGGGTCTACTTATATCCATTTGGGACTTTACTGTATGAAGTTTTGTTGCATTAAGCTAGTACAATGTCACCAATTTTTTCAAGAATGTTCAAAATTTCTGTACTATTTAATAGTTTCATTATGAGGTAAGCAACATACATAAAATATAGTAATCCCTTTACACCTGTTGGACTCAATGATGAAAGCAGATAATTAGATTTTCACTTTCCATTGAAAAAATTAAAAACGTTTACTATCCTAGATCTTATGATTTTTGCTCCAGGGAACTGATCTTTCCAAACTGGTAGAAGATTTTTTCTCGATGAAGGAAGAAGTCTTGGCTCGCGACTATGACCTGGGGTTTTCAGGAAATTCTGAAGATGTTGTCATGCACGCCATCCATTTGTTGGGAAACTGTGTAACTATCACAAACACCGGTCGGAATAATGATTTCTTCATCGCTCCTAGCACATCGGTCCCTATAGTTTTTGAACTCAATTTCTACAGCAATGGGGTACTACATGTCTTCTTCAAAGAGGCAATAATTGGTATGTTCTAAATCTTGAACTTGATCAAAGACGAGTTATAGACCACCTTTATTGGTCATTATCAATTTACATCTGTCATTGAGTGTGGCCAAAATGATTATTTGCCTGAACATAAGTTGAAATGCTAAATAGTATTTTTATCATAAGCACATAATTCTAATTATTGAATTCATTGCATATTAATTTCACTGTGCAATAATGTTTTGATATTTTTGACACAGCATTGTATATTCATTCAATTAGACTAAATTTGGAAGTTTTATTAAGGCATTTGAAGGCAACTGTTTTTGTTTTCCTTCAGCTTGCAGTCTCCATGCCATCCAGAGTAAAAGGCATAAGAATGGCATCAATGGAATCCCAGCCAACACAATTAGTCAGGAGCAACTAGTCCGTAAAGCTGCTAGTCTGTGTTGTTTACTTTCTAATGAAGGCACCTTTTCCTTGGTATGTGTTCAGGTGTACGTGTGTCATATGTCAAATGTTTCAGTGCTACTGCTACCATGAGTCTTTTATATTATGTTAAGATTTTGAAAAGCAAAGTGCAATTGATGTTTGTAATCATCAAAATCTACAGATAGAATTGAGGACAATCGAAGAGAGAGAAATTCTGTATATATGTTACATAGAAGAATGGGAAGCAAGCAAAATTATGGGGAAAAAAGGAAATTGGGAGACATTTTAAAGTGTGATGAAAGATCTATAGAAACAAATCAGAATATTTTAAAGAAAGCAAAGATAGTGTAGCCAAAAAGGCAATATAAATACTATGAGACTGATTACTTGTCGGTAGTATGTTGATGCTGTTTAAGACAGAAGAGGCATTGTGAAATAAATTTCCATATTTCTATTTCTATGCAGAGTGTTTGATAAATAGGGAGCAAATTTCTTCATCGGAGAAAGTAAGAAAGAAAGTATCATATTTCACCACCTAACAGTCGATTTTTTTTGTCTCATTTTTGTTGGAGAAAAGGAGTGTGACCCAAAGGGGGGATAAAGTTCATTATTGTTTGCATGTAGCTAGCATGGGAAGACTCCACAGTTTCTTCATCATATAACTTACTGTAGAAATGACAGCAACCCAGCTCCCCTTGCAGCTATATGGCTCTTCACTGGGCTGAGTCTGAAAGCTGGTATCTTACTGGACCGACTCTGAAAGCACTGTGTTGAAGAGAGTGACAATACCAGCTTTTGCAATCAGCCCAGTGAAGAGCATAGTTGCAAGGAAAGAGGGGGGAAAAACAATTTTGGGACCCCAAAGAGAGTTCGATTTCTACATGGTGATGACTATTATGTGGTGAAATTCAGTTATTTACACACAATCTTCAGTGTAGATAATGTTGTTGTTGTTGTTCATTCGTTCAGTCATCTCCGATTCTTCGTGACCTCATGGACCAGCCCACGCCAGAGCTCCCTGTCGGCCGTCACCACTCCCAGCTCCTTCAAGGTCAGTCCAGTCACTTCAAGGATGCCATCCATCCATCTTGCTCTTGGTCGGCCCCTCTTCCTTTTTCCTTCTACTTTCCCCAGCATAATTATCTTCTCTAGCTTTCCTGTCTCCTCATTAGTAAAGTATCTCATTTTTACATCTGAGGAGGTGAATAGCCATGAGTATTAAAGGCAATCTGAACTCATGAGGGAAAGAGGGGTATACTTCTAATAAAAATAATAATGTAGCTCTACCTACCTCATCGCTGTTCATTTATCCCATGTGTTACTGAGAGCAATCTTCTGAAGTAGGTTGCCTTTTGTGTTCATGGAGATTTTCTGCAGTGTTCAGACCTTGATTTTCCTGGGATTGTGTGACACATAGGAAGAATTCATGAATAGAAGGAGGTTATGCTTTTGATGTTAACCCCCAGCATGATGAGGGTGATGAAAACAGAGGAAGGATGATTGTCTTCCATGCTATCAAGCCATTTTTGGGTGACTTACTGGTTTACACAAGACTATAGTTGATGATACCGTAGGATAGATTTGCACATCATTATAAAGGTTTTTATGTTGTGTCAGGTTCATGCTGCATCCTTGAGTAAAACTGAAAATAGATACTGTGAAAATAGATTACAGAAACACCTAGTGCTAGCAGTGCAATACCTCTGGATCTGAATTTTCCTCTCTGTCAGATTAAATGAGATTTTCCGTTTGTCAAAGGGGGTTATATTGTTGTGTTCCTCCAACCTTCCAGAACACTGAATGTTTGGAAAAGGTCTTGATAGAATAGTTGAATCATCTGTCAAATGAAATATTTTCTACAAATGCAAAATCATCATTGGGTACTATGACCCATAATAATTTGTGACACTGTGCTTGTACACAGATATAAGTAAATGTTTCTATGCTTCTTTCCCAAAAGTACATTCTTAGCCTTGTTATGCTGTATAGCACCTTAACAACTATGCTTTTTACTCATTCTCCAGTTGCCCTTTGGTTTTCACTTTTAAGTACAAACAAGTGAAATCTTTGGGTTGGCTTGGATTTTATGAAATGTGTAACTATAAAAGAAGGGAAGCTTATCAAGGAACTTTGCAAATACAATCAGTCCTCTGTATCCATGGATTCTGCATCCATGGATCCAAACATCAACAGCTTGAAAATATCCCAACAAACTAAAATATGAAAGACAAAGTTTCTTTTTGGCATTTTATATATGTAACACTATTTTATTATACCATTTTGCATTATTGTGTATTATAGGACTTCATCCATGAATTTTAGTGTCTGAGGGCTCTTGGAAATAAATCCCAGCATATAACAAAAGCCTGACTGTACGTTCATAGATATGACCCACTCATTTTTACCAGTCTTCTCATAGGCATTTAATAATTATTTGGGGTACGCAAAGAAATTGAATTGAAAGAATGAACACTTTTACTTGTTGAAGTTATCTTTTTTAATTACTCCTATCTGCAGGCCTATAAATTTCTTTATAAAAGATGGTAGTTACAGGAGGGCTTATTAGAATGCTGAGGAACATTATGGTAGAAGGTGTGACATAAGTAACTAAGTTGACTTGTTCTTCTATTCAGCCCTGCCAGCTGTTATGTCAGGTGTGCCATGAGACAATTGAACAGTTCATACAATATGGAATTCTGTTGATAGCCGAGGTAAGATGCAATTCCTATGTTTTTGTTGCTTAAGTAACTAAGAGCCTGTTGTGCCTCATAACTATCAGTTGCCAGGTTTAAGCTTTGCAGACACTCTTCTAAGAATTCCAGCAAAGTTGATTTTAAAGTTGTAACCCGCAAAGAAGGGCATAAAATATTTCCAAGTCAAAACCACATTGGTATATTTGAAAGTATAAAATCACTTTGTCATTTCTCATTTTTGCATATACCTATTGCAGTGGATCTCAACCTGTGGGTCCCCAGATGTTTTGGCCTTCAACTCCCAGAAATCCTAGCAGCTGGTAAATTGGCTGGGATTTCTGGGAGTGGTAGACCAAAACACCTGGTGAACCTCAGATTGAGAACCACTGACCTATCGTATGTTACTAGTTCATATTTGCTTTCAGTTTGAAGAATGAACAAGGAAACTATGGTCCTGAGCTTGCAAGACCTTAGGAGGTCTGTTGATGACTGAGACTCTTGGAGTTTTGTCATTGAAAGGCCTGCCATAAGTTGAAACTGACTTGACAGCAAATAATGATAAATAACTGATTTCAGATCTAAAATGAGCTTACAGTACAAAATAACCTCATCAATATATATTTTGAATACTTTGGATGAGACTCTCACCATCTAGCATTTTCTAAAATGATAAACGATGGTTGCTTTAAAAAACATCAAGCTGAGAAATATTTGCCAACCAATGATCCTATTTTTAGACTATTACGTTGCCAGCCTTTTCATTTATGCCCATCGGTAAACTAATTTGTGAAATTAAAATCAGTCCATAACAAGCTTAACTTTGCAACTTGGGTGCAGTTACATACACATATTATTAAATTATGAAAGATTTCATGTGAGTAGGCATTTATAGGATTGTGCTTAAACTGTATTTTTTTAAAAGGTTGGTGTTAGAATCATACCAAAGCAATTGTCTGCACATTTTGGCTTCAAGCGTAGGATCTCATTGATTTTCTTCCTTTTATGAGACACCATTGTCTGTATAAATTGACTCTTCTTTTTTTCATTGAAGTTGTTTTTTTTGTTAATGCCCAGTTGAACAGCAATATGTAATCTAATACTTGGTCCTCTAGAAGGCACTGTTTTCCTTCGTTTCTAGTATTCAGTTCCAATTCAACAGAAAAGAGAATGAAGTACTTACAAATATAAAATTTGAAAGAGGCTAGATATGGATTTATGGGTATATGGGGCGGGGGGGGGGGGGGGAGATAGAATTGTCTAGGACTAAGGGCCCTTCCAGACAGGCCCTATATCCCAGGATCTGATCCCAGGCTTTCTGCTTTAAACTGTATTATATGAGTCCACACTGCCAGATAATCTGGGTTAAACAGAAAACCTGTGCTCAGATCCTGAGATATGGGCCTGTCTGGAAGTGCCCTAAGTCAAGGCCTGGAGGAAACCTGTGTTTTCTGTCCCTTTCTTGAGGTCAAACATACGTGTTCTATCTCTTCCTCAAGTGAAATTTGAACATTCTGAGACAGTTTGGAAAAGTATTGATTTTTTTCTGTTTGGAAATTATTTGTTAAGTTGTAAATTATGAAGGTGTTTATTTTATGTATTTGAGCTAAATGCAAGTTTTAAAAATTGCTGCATAATGCTAGGGATTAAATGACATACTGGCTAGTATCCAGTGGGAAAACAAAAAGAGATAGGTGGGAGAGTGAAATAGAGTTCTTCTTCTTTCAGTCCAAAATCCTTCTTGGAACAAGGTGAGACCTTGTGCCTGGCAGATAAAGAAATAAGGAGAATTCAGTGACAATTTCCACCTCTTTCTCCCAGCACATTTGCTGTGGGTTGTAATCTTCCAGTTGCATTAGGCAAAGTTTGGACTCATTCCAACTCATTTTAGCATGACCAGATAACACAGTGTAACACGATTTTTGTTCTTGGGTATGAATGTCATTTCCTAATTGGTTCTATCATAAAAACATGGAAAAAGATTAATTCTTGTGGGACATCTTGCAGTACATTTTGCTATAGTTAGTTTTTTAATGAACATCTCATAGAGTCTCAACCAATTCAACATAGTTCGTGGCAGCCGCAAAAATGAAGTTCCTGGAGTATAACAACTACACCACACAATTAAACAGGAAATAACACTTTCAAATAACATTTTGAACCCAGGAATAGATTTTTTTCCAAATTTTGTTACATAGTATAATGTAACATTTTTGTTCCCTTTTTGCAAGACAGGAAATATGTGCAGGTATTGTAGTGCATTTTAACACAGGGAATATGTTTTTTTATTTGCATGTAACATGTAACGAAATCATACACAGTTTCTGAAATTCTTCTGTCTAATTTTACCTAAGAAAGCCTTTGTAGAGTGGAGATCTACACTGTTTGACCATAATGTTGGCCAATAAAGCTAATTTTCAATAGCTAGTGAGAAATACAAAAGCATGATATTCCTCCTGGTTATGTTTCCTAGCTGCATGCTTCCCCTAATAATGGGAGTCATGTATATCTGTAATGTCTATTAAAATATTTAATGATAAAATAATGCTGCTGTTTGTGTGATTACTTTGATTTGCATTTCTATATTAAGCAGGATGAACAGGAGGATATTAATCCTAACCTTACAGAACAGCACTGGGAGAAGAAGATCCCAGGTCCATTGTCTTGGAGGAGTGATGAGGAAGATGAAGACAGTGACTTTGGTGAAGAACAACGGGATTGCTACTTGAAGGTACTGCATAAAACTAAAGGAGCACCAGCCAACTTTAGCTCATGTTTGGTCAAGGGTGACTCTGTAGGAACTCAATCTAGAAATTATATCCACCATCTCCCTGAAACTGCAGAACTCAGGTTGTACCTAAATGACATTCATACAATGTTGTGTGTTGGACCTAACTGGCAAACCCAGCTCTTTTTGTCTATTTCTGCTTTTGCTTTGTGTTTGCTTCTGCCTCAGCTATATCTCTTGCCACCTAGCCCAATTTAATGGTCTTGACATTTGTGTTTAAATATATACATTGAGCCTTCATAAAAACAGTGGATCACTCCTGTTTCTTGCTCCTCATGGTGGTTTCTTTCAAGGGTATTCAATTTTGTCATTTTACCCAGATTTCCAGCTCAATGCTGTGGTAATTTGATAGTTAAGCATGCCGTCTCCATTTGGGGTTGTTTGGTTTTTGCTTACATTTTTCACCCCTAGATATTCTATTTCTACAGAATAAAGGACTCCTCAAGTTATCTTTTCAAGCGGTTAGCTGTATTAGTATTAGTTGTTGTAGAGGACAAGGCAGTTGGTGTGGCAGAAGGGACTGCTCTTTTTCTATCCCACTGCTGCCCCCAATAAATATTATGTATTGCACCACACCCGAATGAACTGGGAAATATATGACGATGGGTAGGGTAATTAGATCAGTGTGGATAGCTTAACAGTGGGTGAGCAGGGTTTTTTTATTTATTTAATTAATTTAGTATGTGTATTTGAGTGAGTGAGGCTTGTAATGCTGATGTGAGGCTTGACTTTTAAAATGTTTGCCTGGGGCACTTTTAAAATATGTAAACCAATATCGTAAACTGAATGCTTTCTTCCAGTTCTTCAGCCATCTCCCTCTGAGTTAAATTTTCTCTTCAATAACTTCAATAACACAAGTCTTTATTATAATAAACTGAACAAGGAAATATTTATTCAAGGATTCTCAGGCATATAAGGCTTAGTTGGTTACACAGTAGTTCTCAAACGTTGTTACAACTGGCTTCTGTTATCACAAACACTTGAAACAGTTTCCAATATAACTCCCAGAATGGCAAGCAGGCCAGTTGTGGGCAGGGGGTAATGTCTCAGTAATGCGAGGGGACCCGAGAAAGCAGGATATAAAATAGATGGGTACTGTGGGAATTGGGACCACTATCAATATGTGGGGTGCAGGTATACAACCCTCGTGTATCTGAACTGGATTAAGGATAAGATTCACCTCATATATGGTTGTGTTGCATCATATTTCTGTTACTTCTGTTACTTTATTTTCCTTTGTAGTGACTAATTTTTTTTGTTCCTTTATTACTTACGTAGGTCAGCCAGTCACAGGAGCACCAGCAATACATTACCTTCCTCCAGAAGCTGCTAGGACCTTTACTGGAGGCATACAGTGCGGCAGCCATATTTATCCATAATTTTAGTGGTCCTGTCAGAGAATCTGAGTACCTTCAAAAATTACACAAATATTTAATAATGAGAACAGAGAAGAATGTTGCTGTCTATGGTATGTGTAACAGTTTCTTTCTATGGAACAGTTTGTGTTACTGGTATTGTTCAAAGCAATGTTTTTTTTATTCATCCTGAGATAATGCTTTTCTTGTCACCTTCTCCACATTTACAGCCGAAAGTGCCACCTATTACCTTGCAAAAAATGCAGTGAAAGTATTCAAGGACATGGGTGTAAGTATTTCTTCCTTTCATAACCCCTTGCTGTTGTTTATAATTCTTGTGTGTCCTCAAATCATTTTAAGCTACCAGGGAAGATTTTCTTGGCAAGATTTGTTCAGAGGGGGGTTGCCTTTCTCTTTCTCTGAGGCTAAGAGGTTATGACTCACACAAGATCACCTGGTGGGGATTTTCATGGTCAAGCAGGGATTCAAACCCGTTTCCAGAGTTGTAATTCAATGTTCTAACCACTACACAATATTGACTCTCCTCACAATGCCTTATGTATTTCTAAATATGTATGTCTCTGTTACTGCAGTTAACTTCTGCAAATCACCAACCAAGTCCTTGTTGAAAAGTGTACTTCTTCACCAGCATAAATAATAATAATAAGAATAATAATAATAACAACAACACTTTATCTATATTCCACCTATCTCCCCGTGGGGACTCAGAGTGGATTACAGCATATAAACGACATAGGCAAACATTCAATGCCTTGTTACAATGAAATATAATGAGACACAAATACAGAGGCAAAGACTTCTCCTTTCATTTCCAGCTCTGGAGGTGGGCTCATCTCTGACTCTGGTGCTCTTCTCCATTTCCCAGAGAAGGAGCCTGCATTGTTCATAGATACCTCCTGATCGTGAGGCTGGCCTGACTGCTTGGAGCGTCTTTTTCCCTTTTCCCGCCAAAGCGGTACCTATTGAGCTACTTACATTTGCATGTTTTCAAACTGCTAGGTTGGCAGGAAGTAGAGTTAACAGCGGGAAATCACCCCGTCCTGTGGATTCGAACTGCCAGCCTTCAGGTCAGAAATTCAGCAGCACAAGGGTTTAACCCATTGTGTCACTGCGGTCCCACTAGGGTGGTGATGTGCTGCTTCTTCCCCAGGTATACCAAGGCAGCCATATAAAACCCAAGCACACCCTTGTGGTCAATATCTCATGGGTATCAGAGCAGAGCTGCACCTGAGTTTCACTGGCTGCCCTTCCTCATCTTTTTCAAAGGTATTACACAAAGAGGTACTAGGAGACCTTGCTTCCAAATCACATTTATAATGTGTGGTGATTTTTGTAATGGCTATAAATCATACATAATTGTTTGTTACAGTTCTTTTTGAGCCAGTGTTATAATTAGGTACTTAGGTATAATTAGGTAATTTCACTGAGGAGGGAGTTCCATAGATGAGGGGCCACCACTGAGAAGGCTCTGTCTCTCGTCCCCACCAGTTGCACTTTTCAGGTGGGTGGGAGGTGGGACCGAGAGCAGAGCCTCCCATGACAATCTTAGCCTCCGATGTGGATCATAGAGGGAGATACGTTTGGACAGGTAAGCTGGGCCGGAACCTTTGAGGGCTTTATAAGGCTATAGCCAACACTTTGAATTCTTCTCGGTAGCAGACTGGCAGCCGGTGGGACTGACACAGCAGGGGAGTTGCATGAGGTCCATTTTAGAGCCTTACATTAACCTCCAGATAATGGGTGATTTTTTTTGTTGTTTTTTTTATCGTGTCAGGAGTGACTTGAGAAACTGCAAGTTGCTTCTGAAGTGAGAGAATTGGCCGTCTGCAAGGACGTTGCCCAGGGGATGCCCGGATGATTTGATGTTTTTATTATCCTTGTGGGAGGCTTCTCTCATGTCCCAGTATTAGGAGCTGGAGCTGGTAGAGGGAGCTCATCCTCCTCTCCCCGGATTCGAACCTGCAAGTCGGTCTTCAGTCCTGCTAGCACAGGGGTTTAACCCAGTGCGCCACCGGGGGCTCCATGGGCGATGATGGAAGATGTTGTTAAACACACCCTTTTCCTTTGTCCTTCTAGGTGTTTAAGGAGACAAAAGAGAAGAGAGAGAGTGTGTTGGAACTAAGCAACACTTTTCTACCTCATGGCAACAGGCAAAAACTACTAGAATATATACTGGGTTTTGTTATACTGTAGAACAGACTTCTCATCATCTGCCACCAAGAACTTGGGAGACTTTGGAGAATGTGACAGAGAGCTTCAGGGCTTTTTTGCTGCTTCCTTAGTGTTTATAGTGCCATTTTGATAAGGCCTTATCTGACCCAAATCACTGGAAGACAAGTGCCTTCTTAAATATGCATGTCTGGAACTTTACGACTCCGTAACCAGTTAAACACTTACAACATACTGGATGCAAGCTATTAAGCCATGTTTGTGCAAAGCAAAATAGAAAAATACCCTATTTTCCACATGAATCACGTTACATATTTGCACTGCAAAGTGTTATGTTTATGTCAAGACTATTGACTGTGAGAAATGCACAAACACCATTACCAGCAATCTGCAGTTTTGAGTAACATGAAATAATTCCCTCTCATATGCAAACTCTCCAAAAGCCTTGTCAGCAAGAGCAACTCATTCTTGCAGATTAATGTGTTTAGGAGAATTGATTGTAATTGATGGAAGGGGCATTTCATTCTTTTTCCTCATAGATTATTGTGGGGACATGCTAAATAAAAATAATAGAGCAACAGTCAGGTTTTCATTAGGGATCAATTGAACAGCTCCCAGTGACTCACACCTATGTATTGTGTTTTTAGTGGCAGAATAAATTTATTAAAATCTATTGGGTTTTGTTCCCAGTAGGAATGGAGAATAAATACAGTAATTATTATATTAAAAATTTGGCCCCTTGGTTTTTTGCATCCAAAACACTAAGATCCTTTCATTGATGGGCCTTTGAGCCAGAAGGATAATATTGGTTTGCTCCTTTCCAGTGTTATGAATATAGTCTTAAGCACTATAAACTTTAGAGATAATGTTGAAATATTGTGTAGGTGAATCTAATCTTGATTCCTTTTGGATGGAAAGTGTTAGGACTAGAATTGTGCCAGTAAAATGGCTCAAGCAAATGTGTAACTCTGGCTTAGGTGTCTATAATTAACGATAAGGTTCAAGGATAATACTGCAAATATTCATTCTTAAAAGTTAATAATAACTCCCTGAGTGAAATACACACAGTATCAACACTGGGTGGCTGTGGGTTTTCCGGTATGTATGACCATGTTCCAGAAGCATTCTCTCCTGATGTTTCGCCCACATCTATGGCAGGCATCCTCAGAGGTTGTGAGTGTTGGAAACTAGGCAAGTGAGGTCTATATATCTGTGGAATGTCCAGGGTGGGAGAAAGAGCTCATGTCTACTTGAGCCAGGTGTGAATGTTGCAATTGGCTCACCCTGGACATCCCACAGATACGTAAACCTCACTTGCTTAGTTTCCAACAGACCTCTCGATCTCTGAGAATGCCTACCATAGATGTGGGAGAAACATCAGGAGAGAATGCTTCTGGAACATGGCTATACATCCCAGAAAACTCACAGCAACCCAGTGATTCAAGCCATGAAAGCCTTCAACAACAATATCAACATTATTTGAAGCAAGAAAATACATGGTTTGTTCTTGAGATATCTTCTCACCTTATTGAATGAAGAATTGTGGCTGCTGCTCCAACATTAATAGAACCCTCTTAGCCCTATTGTCTTGTGATTGAGTTTGGGAAATTGTTTGGTCGTGAAAATCTACTTGAGCTATCATTTATTTGGGGGAGAAAATTGAGTGGTGACAGCATTGCACATTCACTACCGCACAGATATTCTGTGCAGCTTGTGTGTTTACTCTACGTTTGTGAAAGTCTTGCCTTTTACACCTATATTTGTGAGTTAAAGCAATTAATGAATTGCAATATTTTGTCAGTATTCCCACATCACTGCCTGAGATGAGCTGCTGTGCATGATTTCCATCACTAAATAGGTGCTTTAAAACATTTTAAGTTGAATTTTTGAACCAAAGTGACATCATATCATGACAGCATCAGATAGCAAAAAATGAATCAATTTGCTAGTTCCTTTATTGTTTCCAGCAGCCGAAATGATCTCCATTTGTTCTAATAAAGCCTACTAGCTACTTAAAGCAATTGCATCTCATCCTTGCGAACGTGCACAATTTGTTAAACTGAATGTATTCTCTGAATAGCAATTTCTAAATATTACTGATGGCTTCTATTTAAGGTCAGATAAATAGGTGCTTGTAAATAAGTGACTTCTTTTTGTTTTACAACACTTTAATAGATGTTCAGTGTATGCTAGAATTAAGTTTGTGTAATTATTTTTCCTAAAAAAAGAAACAAGCAATATATTGCAGGTAATGCTTGACTAACCTTAATGAAAATGGTCTAATTTAAAAGAAAAAAAATGTGTAGAAATAACCTTGTTCTCTAGGAAGCTAGTTGTCACTAATGAGGATAACGTATTACCTTATTAAACTATTCTTGGTGTATTGCAGTGTGTATCTTGAGTTGATGATACAGTGCAGTGTTTTCTACTTGCTGAATGTGAAGGGATGCTTTTGAACGTAGACCATACATGGCAGAGAGATATTGCATGTGCTGAAATGCCAAGCTGTGAATGTTGTGCGGGTATAGGGAAGGGTATGTTTTACACAGCATGGATATGGATCTACACATAGTTGCACATGTGCTGGTTTGGCTTTTCCATGGAAGTAAAGCACAGAGTTCTTTACTACTAAGCAACTAAATATAATTCCGCCTTTTCTTGGTTTATTTTTAAGTTCCTATTTTACTAATGTAAGATAAGGTTTTAATTTTTCACTTTTACATGCTATGTCTCCTTATCGTTCTCTCTTTAATGTTAAACTTAAATATCTAAGTTCTTGTGGGTTTTTTCGGGCTATAGAGCCATGTTCTAGAGGCATTTCTCCTGACGTTTTGCCTGCATCTATGGCAAGCATCCTCAGAGGTAGTGAGGTCCTCACTACCTCTGAGGATGCTTGCCATAGATGCAGGCGAAACGTCAGGAGAAATGCCTCTAGAACATGGCTCTATAGCCCGAAAAAACCCACAAGAACCTAGTGATTCCAGCCATGAAAGCCTTCGACAATACATTAAATATCTAACATTTCTTTACTTGTACTTACAAGAGTACAGCTCTACATGTTAATATAAAGGGCAACATTCCACTTACATGTCTCAATTCTGTTGGATGACTAGTGTGTATAAATTTTATCCTCTATCAGAGGAATGCATTAAAAGAGAACCCTGTGAATGATTTCCTAAGGACATGCACCTGTCCTTCTGTATGGCATCTCTATTTGACTACTTTATATTTAAGCGTCGCATTACGCTTTTTAATAAATTGGCCTGCCTGTACGTTTGAAAAAGAAGCATGCAATTTGCAACAATGATGAAGGGCTGGAAAAAATTGCAAAATTCTGTAGCTGTTCTATATTTTTACTTACGAAGCAGGCATGGTCATGAAAATGTTAATATACAGCTTTTCCCATTTTAACATCTTATATATCTCTTGTAAGAAGCACAACACTGGACAATAATTTTATTTTAATAAACAACTTGGAATTTCTTTGGAATGTGATTGATTCTTTTTGTGTGTCAGGAGCAACTTGAGAAACTGCAAGTCGCTACTGGTGTGAGAGAATTGACCATCTGCAAGGATGTTGCCCAGGGGACTCCCAGATGTTCGATGTTTTACCATCCTTGTGGGAGGGTTCTCTCATGTCCCCTGGTGCTGACAGAGGGATCTCAACCTCTTCTCCCCGGATTCGTACTGGTGACCTGTTGGTCATCAGTCTTGCCGGCACAAGGGTTTGACCCATTGTGCCACTGGGAGCTCTTTAATGATAATAGTCTGTTCACAATCTGGTATTCACTTAGCAATACAGCTATGCTTTGACCTTAGGTGTCATTTGTTCCTCAAATAGAGAACAGAAGAAATTTAACTTTCCCATCTAGTGTAAAGCTGCCACATCTGGAAAATGTCCATTAATAAACAAATTACGCAATACATGGTCAAAGGTTCATAAACTAAGGGGATGAAGTAAGCACATTTATACAGTACAGTACAGTAGAAACAATCAGCCGATAAAAGCATTTAGAGTAATACTAATTTTATTTTTCTACCCCGTCACCATCTCCCTGAAGGGATTCAGGGCAGCTTACATATAGGACAAAATGTCCACAAGACGTAAAACAAAACAATCCATTAAAACAAAAAGCACCATTAAAATAAGAACATTATAAAATACAACAAACAGATAAAAGCAATTAAATATAAGAGTAGCATTGAAGTTCCATCAAACCATGTTCTACAAAAAACCAATGACCATATATTTCTAAAACGGGCATGACCAGGCTGCAAAAGGGCTGAGCATGGGATAGTGCAAAATTGTGTACCATAGGGCCAGGGAATTGAATGCAGTGCAAAAAAACAGAATACTGTGTCATGACCTGGGACTGGGCATTTATAAACTTAAGATCCTCAAATGCTTGGAATATCCAGGTTTTCAAATCCCTGCAGAAGGAGGACAGTGTGGGGGCTTGCCTTATCTCTCTACGGAAAGTGTTCCAGAGTTGAGGGATCACCACCAAGAAGGCCTTCTCTCTCGTCCCCACCAACCATGCTTCTGATGGTGGCGGAAATCTCTATCATGTGATAGTCCTCTGAATTGGTCAGTTCCTAGACCAGAGAAATAAGATGGATCAGGGTGTTTCAGGTACCATCGTATGTACTCTTCGAGTCATTTATTGATGAGAAAAGTATATCCATGTCTCCAAAGTCATACCTAAACTTTGGATTGGCTGAAGTTGGTATTTTTAGTCACTGTTGATAGTTGTGCAGCCTACGGGGCAGTGGGGCAACCCTAAGTCTTCTGAAGCCCAAATTACAATAAGAATGTACAAAGAAACCAAATCATGTCTTGAGTTTAGAGCCATCCAATACATTATTTTACAAGCATATGTAGAAGATCTGAAACAAATCAAAATGGTAACTTTTAGTACAATTTTGGTACTGGGGAAATCTACAACTTGAAAATGGGGCAGGTTCAGCCTTCCATAATAGTCCATCCTGTTCTGTGTAAAAGTGTGGTCCTGTTGACATGTGGAAATTTTTTCACACAATAGCTTTCACACAAAGGTTGAGCAAGGTGTTGTAATAGATTTCTCCATCTTGATAGCTTTGGGTGTGACTTTTTCTTGTATATGTTGTTCCAAGAGTAACTGCATTAGATAACCATCCCAATTTATGGTTATTTTCCTGCTTTGCAGCTGTTTCCCATAGAAAAGCCTCAATGTAATTACAAGTTTAACCATTGATATTATGGTTAGTAAGCATGTAAACATTGCCTGACCTTCTGTATTGCTCATTAAGTATCTTACAACATGGAGATCTATGACAATTTGGAGACTGACTAATATATTATGACATAACCCTCCATGGCCCAATAAAAGCTTATGGCATAGTAAGCTTGTTGATTTGTCTGTGACTGTTTGTTGCAAAAGATCAACAGGCATAGCACTGTGGAAACTGTTAAGAAAGGATCAGATTTAGCCATATGGAGTAGAAATACATCAACCTCATAAAGAAACCCAGATATAGAGAAATAGCAGATTTTTAAACTACAGGTAAATGGGAAAACGTAATTCCTAAGG